GAGAGCATACTCGCAGCACTACAAAAAGATTCCTCCCCCTGCCCCTGTCCCTGCCCCTCCCCCTGCCCCTGCCCCTGCCCCTCCCCCTGCCCCTGCCCCTCCCCCTGCACCAATCACCCCCAACAAGTTTGAGATTTTTATTATTATGAAATTTTTGCTAATTCGAGGCGGAAGGCCACCGAAGCAGCAGCAGCATTGGCGGATTTTGGCGCGCGGTGGTGCAACCCTTCCCCCTGCTTTTCCGCCCTGCACTTTTCTTTCTTCTTCTGCCCAATTTCTCTGTAACGTAAACAAACCGAAGGGGCGAGTAAAGAAAATAACTAATCAACTTCGTTTTTAACCGAATCGATAGTTCCACTAAGGACTTTAAAATCTCCATTATCTTAGAATAGGAATTCCCTACGTACCACTTTCAATTTAGAATCAGGAATCTTACTATCACAAAATCCACCATTAAGGAGTAGTCATATCCTAGGCTCGGGGCATCGACACCGTTTTCCTTTCTTCGCCAGCCTTCAGTGGTTGAAGAGCTCGCCTTTCCCTGTGCAAAATCCCTGTGAATGTTCATTGTTTCGTGTGGAGTGAACCTGATGGACCACTCCCCACCGCGCTCGCAATCCATTTAGGAACACCTCCCCGCCAGGCTGTCGATGTCTGACAGCTGAAGTCCCTCACTGCCCCCGCCGACTGAAGGTCAGCTGGCGAGGATGTTGCGGATGGGCCACAACAAGCAGGCAGCAACAACAAAAGCAGCAACTGCCTCTGATGCCTCTGCTGCCACTGTGTAACTGCATCCCAGTCGGGAGCCCAAACTTTGGGCAAACACAATACAGCACAATCACCAGACGCGGGACAAACTGCCCCTGTGTTAGTTGTTCTTGTTCATTTTCATTTTCATTTTCCTTTTCCTGTCCCTCGTTGCTGCGTTGCTGCGTTGCTTCCACTCGTATTTCCCCGTCGTGTAGTTGTTGCAGCAGAATTTGCATTCGACCAACTTTGGGCAGCAAACTTTAGTTTGCTTGTTGTTTTGGCGGCACAGTAAGCCGAAAACATGGGGGCCAAAGCGGGAGCTGATCTAATGAATTAGGTGCCAGACAGGATCCTGCAGGACGAGGGACGGGACGCCGTCGGTGTCACGAAGATAACACGCAGCCATTTTTCACGCCCAGCGCACATTTTCGGCTCTTTTGGAGACGCGGAAACGCGAGAAGAAAAATAAGGCAAATGTCGCAGGGACAGAGAAAAAGCGTTGGCAAAAAGGCGTTTGGGCCAAACTAATAAGCAACCGGCGATGTTTGTGCTGAGGGGAAGGGGAGGGGAGGGGACTGACAGCGGTCGAAGCACTGTCAAATTAAACAACACCCATCCACACCCACCCACACCCACACCCACACCCACCCACTCGTTCTGGCCCAAAGCGAACCCACTCGGCGCTGGCCAAACAAATCCGTTGGCTGGCAGCGATAAAGCACAAAAAGGAAAAGGGATAGGAGCAGAAAGGGAGAAGGGAAGACGAGGAGAGAGGTGGAGAGGGTAACCCCCAAATAAATAAATAGATTGCATTTGTGGGCGTGGTCGGTTGAAGGGGGCGCAAGAAGAAGCGGCGAGCCATGCTAAAAAGTAAATAACTGTCAAAAAAGGGTCAGTTGTAGAAAACGTATGTACGATGTATGAACATACACAGTAAAAAATTTCTGTAAAGGCTTTCTGCTTTTTAAAAATAAGCTGTTATTTTCAAATGCTGGGTATAATTTTCATACTTAGTACTGACTGGTTTTACGAGTTTTAAAATGCCCATTACGTGTTCCACTAAATAGTTTGCAACCTGATCCTTAATTTCTCTTGGTGTTCCTTTCCCAGCGAGTTCCACTGTGTGCGTGTGCTAAGGTCTTGTGTGTGTGTCCATAAGTTAGAGTGTGTTAGTAGCAGAGGCTGTCCCCAAAAGCAGCCAAGCAAATACGACTTGAGCCTAGCCCAAAGATGTCCGTCAAAAGTCAAAATCCCACTCACACACACTCACACACACACGCACACACTGTAGCAGGCAGACACACATACACTGGCGTAAGAGAGATGATGATAATGCCATTGTAAGAGCGACAGCAAAAGCAACAGCAACAAAGGGAAGTGACGCTAACAAGAACGGCCAGAGCAACAAACATTTTCAATCAAAAGTTTAATACCCCGTGAATTCATTACACGTCCGATGAGTGATGTACCCCAGGAACACCACCCCGATAAGGCAGGGGGGCAGGGGGGCAGGGGGTGGTGGAGGGCTTAGGATCTATGAGCCACGTTAGCCGGGATGTCTGTTATTTTGGTTTCTTTTCTCATAAGATACAATTTATTGCCGCCGTCATGTACGAAAAGTACGAAACACATGTAGACATCCACACACACATAGACGAAGAAGAAGAAGAAGACATTTTACGGCTGCCCTAAGCACACACTCACACACGCACACACACAAGCAAAGAGATGAGGCTGAAGACATGTATTAGTGCGAAGAAATTCACAGAGGAGCCCATGACCTTCGCCGCCTTTGGCGGCCATTGCAAGTGGAGCAGGATGAGCAGGACGAGCAGCGTTGGGCTACGGTTTATGTTTAGGTTCAGGTTCAAGTCCTGCCACTGCCACTGCCACTGCCACTGCCTCTGGTTCCCTTTGTGACTGCTTGGGCCTAACAAAGTAATCACTCTTTTCCGCCAAACGCCAAACGGGAGGGAAGCAGCTCCCTTCCACTTCCACGCTTATTGACAGTCAGGCAGGCAGGCAGCTAAGGCAGGCCGGCAGCTAAGTGTCAAAACACAGTTTAAGCCAGACCAAAAGACCAAAAGGGTACGCGGGCCGGGGGCAGTGCGGCAGCAGCAGCAGCAGCAGCAGCAGCAGCAGCAGCAGACAACCGACAACCGACAAATTATAAGCCCAAACAGCTTTTTGCTGCTGTTTGCTGCGCAGCCAAAAGCAACGAAAGGGGACGACCGCCGCAACACGAAATGAAGTCGGGAATCTTGCTGACGCAGGAGCCAGCCCCCCACTCCTGCCACTCCCCCTGCCACTCCTGCCACTCCCCTCTGCCGCGCAGGGGTCGCAATTCGATGATGACACGAAGCCGCAGCAGGCGACGCCCAAAGCCAAAGCTGTGCACACAGAAAAAATTCTAGTTCTGATTCGATTTCAGACTTGATCTTGTGCGGAAGGGAACAGAGAGAATATTTCAAGGTCACTCTGGCTTAAGTCAACCAATAACTGGCCTTATAATCTGAGCCAATGAGTTATCCTCTCCTGGGCTACTTTTCTATATGTTCAAATCTATTGTTTAAAAACGACTTGCCATCTTTTCGGTGTAGAAATAGCTAAATATGTGGACAAACAAAGGGAAACGCGATCCGGAAGAGCAGGTTGAGATACAGGGAAACTACCAGCAGCCGCAATATAAGGGATTATTAATGATGACGACTATCATAATGGCTTGAACATTCGGCGAATCGGAGATTGGGGGATGGGGAATGGGGACGTCTGGCAGAGGCCAACATCTGGGTACATTATTCTCGTTCTCGTTCTCGTTCTTCTTCTTGTTCTGGTTTCCGTACTGGTTCTCGAAATCCGACTCCTGCCTGCTGCCTTTTTCCCGATTCCTGATTCCTGATTCCTCATTCCTGATTTCTGCTTCCGCCGCTTCGGCTGCTCGGCTCTGTTTTTACTCCGAGGCTGGCAGCATTCGAAATTCAAAGTGAAAATTTCACGAGCAATTCCCGCATGCCCTGCGGGGGCAGCAATCGAAAAAGGGAGTCGCGGGGCAGGAAGGACACGAGCGTGTGTGAGTGTGTGTGTGTGTAGCTGCGATTATGCGGACCAGTGCCGCACTTAATTTATATAGAATCGCAGGCTGCGCCCAAATTGAAACCAAGGGAAAAACGGCGAAGGAAGCGGAACAGGACTCGAAGGAGGGGCGAATAATAATAAATAATACCTCACAATTAAGTAGCGCGAATACCTCCACTGCTGCTCGACAATGCTCACTAGTTCATTGCAAATGCAGGGGATATTTATTCTTTGCGTTAGTTTTAATTCAAGACCCTCTGCACTCGAGCAGCCCTCGACACTTGTTTCACATCTTGCTTAGTCCTGAGCACGGCCGACTGCTGGGGGAAGTGAAGGTGCAGGCGGAGGCAGGGCAGGGCAGGTCCTCCTACGTTGGCGACCGGAAAGGCGGCGGAAACAACGTGGGGCGAGCACCTGGGCGGGTGGCGTGTCCATAACTACGCACACACTCAAACTTTGGCGCCAGCAGGCGCCGCACAGTGGAACTGAAATACATCGCAAGCGAGGCCATCCGCCTCTCCTTGAACGGCCGACGCTGCTCGTGGTGCGCTCCACGGTTCCGGCCATTGCAAATTAGTAGCGGAAACGGAAATGGCGGAAAGCGCCAACGTCGAGTGTGGCCAATGCTGCTGCAGATGTTGCTTGTGCCTTTGCTGCCTAGTTGTGGGGCATTGGGGGGTTGCTTTTGCTCTCCAGTGAGTGCGAGTGGATACATGGTTCCTGTTTCTCCTCCAAATTAAGCGATGCACGGCAGCCAATATAAGTGCAACATCTTGGGCCCAGGAAAGCCACAGCAGGCCAAGCGGCTGGCGAGCGGATTGAAGAGCAGACTGCTGTGAAAGCGCCAGGAACACATTCCATCCACACACCGAACCCGAACAACAGCAACAGCAACAGCAACAGCATTCGAGTCCCAGCCAACACGATCCCGGCCAAATGCACTAGGGGCCACAGGAGCTCCGAGCAGCAATCAGCGGATCACAGCGAGCCTCCAGGGCCAGTCCACTAGCCATGATGCCCAGTCGCGTCAAGCTGAAATGCGACGCGGAGGAGCCGCCGCGCCACCTCACCTCGATCACTGCCAGCAGCCAGCACAATAGCAATAGCATTAAACGACGACCAGCCCCTCCAGGCGGCTGCCACAGCCCGCTGCCCTTCCTGCTCCTGCTCGCACTCCTGCCGCTGCTCCTGCCAGCCAGCTGCCACGCCCTCCGACTGACCAACGGGGGCGGCAGCCTGAGCAAGGGCGGGGCGGCCAACAAGGAGCAGCTCAACATCGGCCTGATCGCCCCGCACACGAACTTCGGGAAGCGCGAGTACCTGCGCAGCATCAACAACGCGGTCACCGGCCTGACGAAGACGCGGGGTGCCAAGCTGACCTTCCTCAAGGACTACTCCTTCGAGCAGAAGAACATCCACTTCGACATGATGTCGTTGACGCCCAGTCCGACAGGTGAGTGCCCTCTTACTTTTACTTTTACTTTTGCTTCTCCTCTACCTTTTGCATTTTTAATTTTGCTCGAGCGGACAATTTTCATTGGGGACCAGGGAAGGTCGTAGGTCACAATTCACAGGTCGCAGGTCGCAGGTCACAGGTTACAGGACGTGGGCCGCAACACCTGGCCGCCTACTAATTGCGTACGCACTTTTAATAGCCGTTCATTTGGTGCTACTTAAGCGCTTAACCCTCTTCGCCACCCACGACGAGGCAATAAAGGCGGGAATAAAAATGATAATAAAAATGGCGAAAAGAAGGAAATGCTTAATGCGAGAAGTGGCCAAGGAAGGCGGCGGACATTAATAAATGTTCAGGGCAGGCCGGACTGTAATTAAACGCTGTCAGAGTTGTCAACGCGGAAAAAAGACCTTAGCATAGGACTCCCGGGGGAGGAAAATGTCTCAAAAGAGTTACCAAGTGCGGCACTGCCTCAAATTACCACAGTCAAATTCTGATTTGTATACCCTTGCAGCGGGTATTATAATTTCAGTCGAGGTGAAGTTGAAGTTTTTCCTAAACTACATAAGGAAATACTCTTCCAAATATGGAATGGTAAAAAAAAACTAAAAGGTGGGCAAACGTGGTCAAACAGGGGTCAAACGATTCCACTTTTCAAAATTGAAATTTACAATTTTTGGACCCAACTTCTTTAAGCTTCTTTTTTGTTACTTTGTATGGCTGCCTAGCAGCAGTTTAGCATTCGGTGGCCCGTGTTTCCTATGATTGCATTGCTACAGAACTTTCAAGAGAACTGTGCAGCAGTTGATAGAAAGCTTCTGGCAAATAATGTATTCGGAAGGCCCGCCGGAGTTTCCAGGGCTGCCTAGTGGAGAGTCGGTGTTGTCACCGGTGATTGAGTGACATTTGAATTCTGGACACCGTTTTGCCAGTGACACATTTTGGGAATGCAGGGTTGTCAGGGCAGCCATCTGGGCAACAGGGTTGCCTGGCGGCCCAATCTAATTCCAGCAATTTATGCCTTGTCCTCTTCGTTGCATTTGTCCGAATTCCAGATTTCATTTTGCCATTGCGAAATTGCATTTGAAAAGGCCGCGCGCCATGGAGTGTCCATGTCTACAAATTGCAATCTCTGTGCCACATGCAACTAACACGCCGCCCGTCCTCAAGGCCGTTGCTCGCATCGTGCCGCAGAAATATGCAGCGCCACAGGAACGGAGGACCGGAGGACCGGAGCAGATCCGGAGACGTTATCCGGACGGCAAGTGGGCAGAGCGACGAGTGATTGCTCCCGAGGCAGCCATGTGTGCGGATGGAGGGGCGGGTTGGAAGGGCATATTGAAATTTGATGTTGCAGTTTTACAATTCTCTTAGCCAAATTGATAGAGTAAACAGTCAGTCGAGTGAGTGGGGTGGAGCAATGGAGCGGTGGAGCGGTGGAGGGGCCACTGCGGGTGCAAACAAAACCCAAATGAATTTTCAATGATGTTTAAATGTTTATTATGGCCAGGACCTTGAGAATATGCCCGCATTCAGATATGTGCTCGAGTGTTTCTGTGTGTACGCAAATTACAACACACAGCAAACAAGGTCTGTCTGCTGATTGCCCCTCCCACTGCCAACAGCCCAGCCAGCGAGTGTGTTGGTCTATGGGGAATCTATAATGGATTTCTATAGCTTTCGCACCCACGCACATTCGTTCACTCGATCGCATTGGCAGGAACAGGGCTTGTTCAGTGGTTCAGTTGTTCAAACGTTTTATTTCTCTCGACTGTCGAACAATAAGCGCTTGGATCCTGCCTTAATTTCTGGCTCAGTCCGCATTCAACCACCTATTTTAGCACCCGCCCAGCACTCGGCATCCTTAGGTGAAAATCCTTGCCTTTCCTTGCCCGTTTGCACTGCCACTCTCACTGGCCTGCCACCCATCGATGTGCCAGCAAATTCAATAATAATTGTGTGGAAATTGAATTCGATTCAGCGCTTGTCCAGTTAAAGTTGTCATCCAACCCGTTCCCATTCACATTCACCCTCACATTCACGTTCGCATTCCTGCATTGGGAGTCCTGCATGGCGGTGGATGAGCCCACTTTATCGAGCTCAGTGTGGGCGAGAGTTTCCATCAAGGGCCTTCCATTCTATTTTCCGTTTCCAAGGCGAAACTAAAGCCTCTCGCATCTGCCCCGCAGTTCATGATTTTGTGACAAAGTAATTTTCTACGAAATTGTATTACTTTAACCCCCAGACACAACAAACGATTACCAGGTCAGGACGGAGGGGCGGTTGTGTGTGGCTGTGTGGTTGTGCCGCCTTCCCCTTTCGTGTGGCAACCATAAACTTTGATGGCCCGATTATCGAGTTTAACTCATTTGCGGCGATGGAAAACGGACCACAGCGAGACAAGGCGGAAAAGCGGGGTAGGGGAACATTACAGGCAATCACCTTAGATGGGGTTTCATAGGGTTTCGTTGGAGAGGGTGAAGCAAAGTCGGCCCCGGACCCGTGATCCGATCTATAGAGATCTTATGGAGCTATGCTCTACTTCTTAACCAATTCTAAACCGGAGAGACTAGGAGGAGCTCTGTGCCGAAGCATCGTTACCTCCAACCGAACAGAGTCGCATTATCTTCCTGGCAGGTTTACCCCTTCGGTTTGCCACGTCCAGCGCTTCTCCAGTGCGTGTCATTTGTTATCGGCCTGGCAGAGCGCACTCCCTCCTCGCCTAAGTAACTATTCATCCGGCTAATTTGCATTAATTGCATAACAATAGCAGCTGCAGCTAGCGATGCCAAACCGGAATGGAATACGTTTAATTGAGCGTCTGTGCATTTGTGCATTTCAGTGAGTCGAGGTCTCGTCGGTTTCGGTTGCCTGCTTCCGATTGCGATTGGGATTTCGATGTCGGGCGTCCCTTGACCCTGAACAATCGCGCCTTATTTCGGCATTATGGGGATGCCACGCCTGCTAATTGCCATGCACATGCACATCGACGTCCTTAACGAACGCAATACCCCATTTGCAATAGGCAATTGGCAATTGGCGATTGGGGGTGCACACCCCCAAATTTTCACTCTCGCCGACCGACGATGACCACTGGGCGTATGGACAACGCGCAGGCAGTGGCTGTCAATAAGCGGATGATTGAATGATCCCACCAAGCTCGGAGCTGGGAGCCGCGCCCACTTTGCTAAATGACATTTCTAGTTGAATCGAACCTCGCGGAGGCAACGTATCGTATCGTATATCACTCCATTGTCAGTGTCCGACAACTTTGATCCCCAGCAGCCGTAAGTCATTTTTCTTGTCATCCCCTTGCTTTGCTTTTGCGTTTGCTTTTGCTTTTGCTTTTGCTTTTGCTTTTGCTCTTGCTTTTGCTTTCGCCGTTGCCCGTGCGGAAGTAGCTGGTTGGTCCCCGCCGCACAGTCTGCCTGCTGCCACGGGCCACGGACCACTTGGCTCTTTATTATTAGCTATTGAACCCGCGATAACCATCGCCATCCGGCCAGTGCAGCCCGCCTTGAATGACCAGTAACACTGGTGAAGGGGAAAGGGCGATGCTGTCACGTCGTTAACCTTGTTTACACCTTGTCTACATGCCACCCGCCACCCGCCACCCCGTTTTCCCGCCTTCCGACGAAGCCTCACCGCCACTGGCCCATTAATAAGCCGTTGAAGCCTGTTTCTGTCGTTAACTGCAAGCGCTTTCCACACCTGTCAGGTGGTAGATCTGGTAGACCGCCCCCGCTCCCTCGAACGGAACACCTCTAATGGTTTTAGCAGAGTGCAGCTCGGACAGAAGGCCGAGCATCGAAGGAAGGGACTTGCTCCCTGGAAATTCTCGGCACTCCGGCTCGTCCATATTTATTGGCAACGTGCAAATATTCGGCCACAGCTGCCGAGGCCGTAGGTTCATACTCCCGGCAGCCGACGGCCTGTCTTACATCACGCATGTACGCGAGCCAAGGGCAGTCCTCGAGCCTTGTGTCCTGCTCTCGAAACAAGCCCCAAACAAATGGTCGACAGCAGAGGGCAAGGAGGGTGTTCGAAATAAAAGAAACGAGCCCAAAGCCGGCGGCCAAGGCGAGCGAGACGGGATGGGGCCAAGCCAGGCCAAGTCGAGCAGGACAATGGCTCGGCCAGCGGAAAGGTCCTGGGAGGAGGGAGCCGAACACACACAGACACACTGGGGAAAAAACCATCAACACTCGGGGTGAAAACTGATAGTGGATAAATTGGACAGCTTCCATTACCTTTTGATGGTCTGCCATCTGAGAAATCTAGAGAAAAGAGGAGTACTAGGTATCCATATCCAATCCGCATAAAACTTAACTTAAAACTTAAGTTGAAGGCAAGTACGAAAATAAGTGGTCTTCGTTCTTTTAAAGCGGAGGTTAAATGGTCCCCAGACTCTACTGACAGACTTCTCTTCTCCCCAGACTTTTTACTAACAGACACGAAGTTTTTTGTTCAGTGCACACACACACATTTTTCATACTTGGCCTGGACCTCTGCTGCAAAATCAGCCCGAGCCCAAGCCCAACCCAAATCAAGCCGGAATCCGATGCTGTCCCACTAATTGGCGCCGCCGCAAGAAGAAGGCGCATCCTTGGAGTCACTGGCAGGTCAAGAATGACCCTCCGGCTTAGTCCAGCCACACCCCTCGCCAAGAAGGTCCTTTCCCATCCTTGTGCCTTGTGCCTTCTGCTTTGTTCTGTGCGCTGTGTATCTGCCGCTCCCGCTGGGAGACTTTCAAAGTGGACTGCTCGGGGTCCAGTCTTTACGGGCGATGAAACGGAAAGGGAATGGGAATGGGAAAGGGAAAGGGAATGAAAAGGAAAGGAAAGGAGATGGAACTGGCCTCGGGTCCTGCGGTTGATCCGCCCGACAGGAAGACCCTCGTGGGAGACTGTGGGGATGGGGTCTGTGTGCCCCGATTCGGTTTCGGGTTACAAACTATGAACTGCGCTTAAGTCTGTTGACATCGCACACATGCCTGCGGTGACAGAGCCGACAACACAGGCCGGCCAGTGGTAATGTGGCAATGTGGCAGGCAGTATGGGGATGTGCAGATATGGAGATATGGGGGCAGTGGTCGATATGGGGGTAGCAGACTAGACACAAAGTGGACACTGAATTGCCTGATTATACACGCTCAGTTGCTAATGATGGACCACTCAGGTCAGCGCCAGTGCGACACTCAGTGCGCAGCCAGTCGAACGGATCGAAGCAGCAGAGAAGCGAGGCGAAACCACGCCTAATGGCCCAAGGGGCCAAGTGGTTGTGGTTGTGGGTCCACTCTACTCTGGTATAGGGTGTCAACACAACGCCCATTCCCACTCCCATTGCCATTGCCATTCCCATTCCCATTCCGAAGAGGAGTGCAAAAGGCAAGAAAGACGGCACTCTTCGAGGCTCTCAGGTTGCCGGATCCGAGTCTCTGAAACCCAATTTGTCTCGAGTCGGAGGTGTGTTCGAGTTGGAGTTGGAGTTGGAGGACATCACTTTACACTAAAGCTTCACCTTCCCGAAAGGCCCGAATAGCCCTTTTCTGGCTGCTTGCCGTGTCAGCAGCTCCGGAATAACCTGACGTGGCTGTGACCCCGGCATCCTTGAGCGAAAATGGGGTGGAATCTAATGAATCAATTTTAATTCGATGCCGATTACAACAGCGATATTTTGACAACGCTAAAATGGCAAAAAACCACGGAAGGCATCTGCACTCACACACATATTAAACCGACATCCAAGGAGTTGCAACTCAAATCCTTCGAAAGGGAAAATTCCAGATCAACGAAATATTTCCTGTCGGGATCAACGACGCCAGCTTGCGGGGACCTTTAAATTCCAGGTTTTCGGGGCGGAGTCCTTGCCACCGTCTGAGTCAGCTAAGCTGATGTAGTTTCCACTACTAAGTGCATGCCACACATGTCCTGATGTCCTGTATGTTGCGCGGTGGGAAGTACGCGGCATGCTCTGGACCAATCCTTTTATGTGTCCGTGTGTGTGTGTGTGTGTGTTCCGAATACTTCACGTGCAAAACTCATCTGACAAGAGCCTGAAAAGCGAAAAATCATCTGGCAACACTTTGATATTCGATAAGATGTTTGGGCGCTCTCGTCGTCGCTTCCTTATCGATGTCCTCGCCCCGAGTGTCCTGTCTCCCTTCATTGCTGTCATACGAATTTCAGCTGCTCGTATGAAAACTGGCTGGGGAAAGTGGGTGCGAAAGTGGGTGGTGGGTGGTGGGTGGCACTGGGCCCGTGACGCCAAGCTATAATATATGCGCCGGGTTGCCAGCGCCTAGCGTCAGAGTCGCGTTTAGTTTAGTTCGTTTTGCCTTCCCCCGAGTTGCTGCTCTTCGTGTTGTTGTTGTCCTGCCACACATGGCATTTCTTTATATTGGCATGCCACGCCCATGTCGGATGTGTGTGTGTGTGTGAGTGTGCTACAGGGGTTTGGGTGGAGTGGGTGGATAAGTGCGTATGCGTGAGTGCGTAGGACGGCTAGGCCGAGGATGACGATGAGGTCACAACTCCCCACTCGCAGCCCTTTGTGAAATTTGGAGTTGGGATTAGTTATGTTCTCCGGGCGCGTGTACAAACACACACTCATTTCAGCCGAATATTCCCACAGGGGACTTTTAATAGGGGATTTAGGTATTTAACCAATTTACGGTACTTTAAATGCCCACTATGCAACCCTGAGCACACACACATACACATATACTAAAAGCACATTAATTTAACTTTTCTTAATGTCCGAGGATTTTCGTTAAAATAATTATAGTAAAATAATATTATCATGAATGTCCAATATGCATCGCAAGTTAAGTTCGCTCTGTTCGAATTAGAAGCTACTCTGCCCAAATAAGCATGCTACACTTTTTGCAGATGTGAAAAGGAAATAAGAAATCAGAGGCAAACCAATTTACGGTATTTTAAATGCCCACTATGCAACCCTGAGCACACACACATAATAACAGCAGAATAGGGGATGAGGATTTTCGTTAAAATAATTATAATAAAACATTATTATTATGAATGTCCAATAGCCATCACAAGTTAAGTTCGCTCTGTACGAATTAGAAGATACTCTGCCCAAATAAGCATGCTACACTTTTTGCAGAAACTTTTTGTGTAAAAGAAAATAAGAAATCGGAGGCAAACCAACAGAATGCGGCGTTTGTACAAGGATGCATGTGCAACTGCCAATCCGGCGTTTCAATTCGAAACCAGCAATGCATGGCGGGCGAAATGTGGGATGAGGATTGACTGGGGATTGCTTAATCGGACGGAATTATCACGGCGAATGTTTAATTGTGTGCACGAGATTCGTCGGGCGCTGGCTTAGCAGGGAAAGTTTGCCATCGATTGAGATGCTGGTTTCAGTGCTATCCATCCAAATACCTCTCCCATCGCAGCTTCCGATTCCCAACTACCCGCATTGAAGTCACGAATACGCACAGAGCCCTATTCAGCATTATCGAGTGCGGGTCGAAGTGCTGGGACAACTGCGACTCCTAATTGTGCCTTATGACACTTCGTTTCGGGAGGAGCAGGAGTTCCGGAGTGAAGTAGGAAGGAAGCTGGTGGGATGGGGAGGGCGAAGTTGCCTGTGCGCCCGAGATACACTTTCGAGGGCATCGAGATTTATGTGCTGCCAGGATGGAGAGCCTGTCGGCGCTTTTTCCACTTGCCTGCATCGAAAGTAATGTAAAAAGTTGCTCACCAGAAGTGAAAGGATGGGAAATGGGGGCGGGAAAAGGGGTGGGGCAGCGTGGCACACAAACATGCGTGGCGCCTCTTCGAAAGGAACTCCCTGCACTCTATTATACGTACTTGAATTGTTGGCAACTTGTGATAACTTGCGATAAAAACGAAGGCAATTGAATGATGCTTTAATGAAATTAATGGATGTTATAATAAGTTGTCGGAGGCAGCCACGCCCCCTGCCCTCCACCCTCCGCCCCCGGCTGTCGTCAGAGCAGACAAAGTCGAGGGAATCGGGCGAGGACGAGTGCGAGTGCGGAGGCACTCAAAGTCGGTGCCAAGTCACAGCTGACAGCTGTCAGTTGCTCCTCCAGCTGCTCCTGCTTCTGCTTCTGCGGGGCAGCCTCATTTGCCAGTGAAATTGGGGCGGAGCGGTGTCAAAATTCAATTTGCACATTACCCAACCGCCAGCGGCACCGCCCCGCTCCTCAGTGGCAGCCCTGTGTTCAATCTCCACGGCCACAGCACAATTTTAAAGGCAGGCGGGCGACCTTGATGAATCACCACTTACCGCATTACCTACCAAGCTACGCACTTCTCGGGCGTGAATTAATCCCGATGCGAGTGTGATTTCAGCCACCGGCCCGATCCACACTCGGTAGTTCCGGTCCCAGTCCCACAGTCCCCACCTTCTCCCAATCCCAGTTTGAGTTCCCAGTAGACACCGTTCGCAGGACACCGACAGGAGCCCGAAGCTCGACACTTGGTAATGCAATTACGGGGTGCTTAATGCACACAATTAAATTCCTAATGGACGGGCCGGGAAATCAAAAATTCTCCATTAAAAAAAATTAATTTTGGGAGCTCCCCCCCCACCTTGTTCGGCCCTAATTCCGTAAAGTGTATTCTGTTAAATGCGAAAAAAGGTCTACAGTTCGCAGACTACGGTTTACAGTCCGCCCAGCAATCCTCCCGAATAGTCTCCCCCGCACTCCAATCTTGATTGGAGGGTCGTCCATCCATTGTCCATCCATCGATCCGTCATCCCGAGTGCGGCTGCCTACGCCTATGTTTATATCGTCCGTCCATCGTCCATCCGTCCTGCCAACCATCTGCGTATCTCTGCATCTATCTATCTATATACATATCTGCGGCTGCGAATTCATCCGGGCGAGTTCCGACATGGAACTGGTAATTGAATGCAGGGACACTGCACGACGTCTGCGGGGCGGAACAGGAATGGGGATGGGAAATTAGCAGACCATCCAGACCACCCGGACCACCCTTGGTCCCCGACAGCAATGGAATGCAGAGAGCAGAAGTAAAGTGATGAAAAAGTTAATTAAACTTTTTGATGAGATTTTACATTTTGCCAAAGCATTGATAGAACACCGACAGGCTTGCAGGGACGGGGGAGGAGCGAGGTCGGGGTTATCGCACGTTTCCTAGGACTTGACAATGTCTTGTCATCGATTCGTTCGTTGCCTCTCGGAGAGCTCCTTCGGCTTCAGGACAAACCCCCGAAAATGTCTTTGGTCAATGCCGAACAATGGCATCGCGTGCGAAAGTCGTGACAGCCCCTTAAACTTCGCACCTCCCCATTTTGTCGCAATGAAGATTGCATATGAATTAATTACCACGTGGCTGCAGTGGCTCCTCGGAAGGAAAAGGAAGCTGGGGAGGCTGGGGATGCGAGTCCTGCCCCGGCACCATCGTAGGTCCTTTCAGCAGGTCAATTAGCTGGTAGACCCCGCACCCTCCCAACCTAAACCACAGTTGCAAACTCAATAAAAGGCTCCCACTCCACCGCGTAGCCAATCGTAAAACAAGAACGAAAGGTGGATAATCCGCAATTAATTGCCACACATCTGTACACAAAACACGCACGAACTGAGATTGAGATTTGGAAAGGCGTTTGGAAAGCCGTTTAGGGCGATGTTAGTGGGTCAGGTATGTAAATAAACTCGGATGAGGGTGAACTGTAGAAGCTGGAGAAGATTTTCCAGTGAAACAGTATTGCAGCTCGGATGAAAACACGCTCGAGAGATAAATGGGGCTAATTTAGGGAAACAAACAGCTTGTTACATTCCGTTTCAATTGAACGGAGCAAAGGGAAGCGTGTTTGTTTATGCTGTTTGGACTTCTGCTTTCTAGACTGTATATATAGTAGGTACTCGTACAGTTTTTAGTTTACTTTGGAGCGAGCTCAAGGTGAGCTGGTGCAGCTGCTAATTAACACACTCCCTGTCCTGCAGCCATCCTGAGCACCCTGTGCAAGGAGTTCCTGCGCGTGAACGTGTCGGCCATCCTGTACATGATGAACAACGAGCAGTTCGGACACAGCACGGCCTCCGCGCAGTACTTCCTCCAGCTGGCCGGCTACCTGGGCATCCCGGTGATCTCGTGGAACGCGGACAACTCGGGTCTGGAGCGGCGGGCCTCCCAGTCGACGCTGCAGCTGCAGCTGGCGCCGAGCATCGAGCACCAGAGCGCCGCCATGCTGAGCATCCTGGAGCGCTACAAGTGGCACCAGTTCTCGGTGGTCACCTCGCAGATAGCCGGCCACGACGACTTCGTGCAGGCGGTCCGGGAGCGCGTGGCCGAGATGCAGGAGCACTTCAAGTTCACCATCCTCAACTCGATCGTGGTCACGCGGACCAGCGACCTCATGGAGCTGGTCAACAGCGAGGCCCGCGTGATGCTGCTCTACGCCACGCAGACGGAGGCCATCACCATCCTGCGCGCCGCCGAGGAGATGAAGCTCACCGGCGAGAACTACGTCTGGGTGGTCAGCCAGTCGGTCATCGAGAAGAAGGACGCCCACTCCCAGTTCCCCGTCGGGATGCTCGGCGTCCACTTCGACACCTCCAGCGCGGCGCTGATGAACGAGATCTCCAACGCCATCAAGATCTACAGCTACGGCGTGGAGGCCTATCTGACGGACCCGGCCAACCGCGACCGCCGCCTCACCACCCAGGCGCTCTCTTGCGAGGACGAAGGACGCGGTCGCTGGGACAACGGAGAAACGTAAGTGGTGACCCCAATGTAGTCCAATGTAGCATCCCTATTAAGTTCGCATCTAGGATGCATTTGAAGTGAACTGGAAAGGTCAATCATATTTCATTATTCCCTTACGATTGATTCATAAAAATGGTGACAGCAATCCTTGTAGAGGTAGTAAGGCATTCAGCCCGTAGTCAATTCAAGCCTTTGGTCTCTTCCCCAGCTTCTTCAAGTACTTGCGCAATGTGTCCATCGAGGGGGACTTGAACAAGCCGAACATCGAGTTCACGGCAGACGGAGACCTGCGCTCCGCGGAGCTCAAGATCATGAACCTCCGGCCGAGCGCCAACAACAAGAACCTCGTGTGGGAGGAGGTAAGTGCCGGTTGCTCGCATGCTTTTCTCCATCCTTGCTTACTCTGCCACTCTCCTTACTCTCACGCTCCTTTCTCCACTCGCTCCACTGCTCCACTCTGATCCACGATCCACGACCCACGACCCATTCTGATTCTGATCCCGTCGCACCGATCAATCGATCTTGCACCGCTTTGTAATTATGCCACCACAACCACCGTCACTGCTACCACCACCACCACTCCAATTGGGGCAGATTGGAGTGTGGAAGTCCTGGGAGACGCAGAAGCTGGACATCCGCGACATTGCGTGGCCCGGCAACTCGCACGCCCCGCCCCAGGGCGTGCCGGAGAAGTTCCATTTGAAGATCACATTCCTCGAAGAGGCACCCTATATCAATCTGTCGCCCGCGGACCCGGTGAGTGGCAAGTGCCTGATGGACCGCGGTGTGCTCTGCCGGGTGGCGGCCGACCACGAGATGGCCGCCGACATCGACGTGGGCCAGGCACACCGCAACGAGTCCTTCTACCAGTGCTGCAGCGGCTTCTGCATCGACCTGCTCGAGAAGTTCGCCGAGGAGCTGGGCTTCACCTACGAGCTGGTGCGGGTCGAAGATGGTAAATGGGGTACCCTCGAGAATGGCAAGTGGAACGGCCTGATCGCCGACCTGGTCAACCGCAAGACGGACATGGTCCTCACCTCGCTGATGATCAACACGGAGCGCGAGGCGGTGGTCGACTTCTCCGAGCCGTTCATGGAGACCGGCATCGCCATCGTGGTGGCCAAGCGCACGGGCATCATCTCGCCCACCGCCTTCCTGGAGCCGTTCGACACGGCTTCCTGGATGCTGGTAAGTAGCCTCTGAAGCCTCGCCCCCTCTCTGTCCAGCCTTCTCACGGGTAAGTGTCCGCTTCTCTCTGTCTCTCTCTCTCTCTTCCGCTCTACTCCTTGTCGACGCCCAGGTGGGCATCGTGGCCATCCAGGCGGCAACCTTCATGATCTTCCTCTTCGAGTGGCTCTCGCCCAGCGGCTACGACATGAAGCTGTACCTGCAGAACACCAACGTGACCCCGTACCGCTTCTCCCTGTTCCGCACCTACTGGCTGGTGTGGGCCGTGCTCTTCCAGGCCGCCGTCCACGTGGACTCGCCGCGCGGCTTCACCTCGCGGTTCATGACCAACGTGTGGGCCCTCTTCGCCGTCGTGTTCCTTGCCATATACACTGCCAACCTGGCCGCCTTCATGATAACCAGGTAACCTATTGAAGCACTCTGCATCTGTATCTGTATCTGTATCTGCATCTGTATCCGCATCTGCATCTGCATCGGTATCCTGCAGGGAGGAGTTCCACGAGTTCAGCGGTCTCAACGACAGCCGTCTGGTACACCCCTTCTCCCATAAGCCCTCCTTCAAGTTCGGCACCATCCCGTACAGCCACACGGACTCGACCATCCACAAGTACTTCAACGTGATGCACAACTACATGCGGCAGTGAGTAGCCTCGATGGGTTAGACTGGACTCTAACCTCCAACCTCTGACCTCTGACCTCTGATCTCCCACCTCCTTCGACATCCAACACCCAGGTACAACAAGACCAGCGTCGCCGACGGAGTGGCCGCCGTGCTCAACGGCAACTTGGACTCCTTCATCTACGACGGCACTGTGCTGGACTACCTAGTCGCCCAGGACGAGGACTGCCGGCTCATGACCGTCGGCAGCTGGTATGCCATGACGGGTAAGCTCCCCCCCAATATCAGTCTCAGTGTGTGGCCAACTCTTAATTTATAATTGACACTCGAAGTTGATATTAAATTAATTTGCAGCCCCACACAGCATCAACTTGTAAACTATAAAAACGAGTTGACTTTAACTTTGAGAACGTGCGAAACTTTTCACTGCCTACTGACATTCGCTTAGCTCATAAACAATACATATTTTCAATAGAACGGGTAGACGTGGGCCTTAATTGCCCTTAGTGAAACGAGCAACGGGTTATGTAAAGAATTTACATTTCGTAAACAAAAAACATAATTATTTTACAAGAGCTGTTATTGACAAGACAATTGTCAAAGCAAACCCTCGTAAAAAAGGTTATCACTTCTATGAAACGGGATGACTGGCATCCAATGTTTCCCTGAAACCCTAAAGCAAAGTTCCTAATGAACCAGTGGAAAATAATCAATCGATTACTTCTTCTTGTCTAAATTCATAAAGTTATCATAAAGTTTTATGTAGTCATTATTTCAGGAAATCAAATAGAAAAGCATTTTTCACTGCCAATCTTTGGCTTTTGGCTTTGTTCCGCTTTCGGTGGATCCCTCTCGATATCACAACTTAATTTTAGCCCACAATTCGATCCGGTTCGATGGCTGTAATTTACGGCCCTGCCTTTGCTTTTTCGCCGCAGGCTACGGACTGGCATTCAGCCGCAACTCCAAGTACGTGCAGATGTTCAACAAGCGCCTGCTCGAGTTCCGGGCGAACGGGGACCTGGAGCGACTGCGACGCTACTGGATGACGGGCACGTGCCGGCCGGGCAAGCAGGAGCACAAGTCCTCGGACCCGCTGGCCCTCGAGCAGTTCCTGTCCGCCTTCCTGCTCCTAATGGCCGGCATCCTGCTGGCGGCCCTGCTGCTGCTGCTGGAGCACGTCTACTTCAAGTACATCCGCAAGCGGCTGGCCAAGAAGGACGGCGGCCACTGCTGCGCGCTCATCTCGCTGTCGATGGGCAAGTCGCTCACCTTCCGCGGCGCCGTCTTCGAGGCCACCGAGATCCTCAAGAAGCACCGCTGCAACGACCCCATTTGCGACACGCACCTCTGGAAGGTCAAGCACGAGCTGGACATGTCCCGCCTGCGTGTCCGCCAGCTGGAGAAGGTCATGGACAAGCACGGCATCAAGGCGCCGCAGCTGAGGTGAGTGCTCAAGGAGCAGGTGAAAGGTCAAGAGGAGTCCCTTCCAATTGCCTAATTGCCGCCATGTCCTCGTGCCGTTTGCAGACTGGCGTCCTCCTCGGATCTGCTGAACCACCATCATCTCAAGGAGCGGCCGCCGCTGCTGGGCAACCTGAGTCTCGCCGCCAGTGCCCAAGATCTATACAGGTGGTAAGTTTTCTTTACGCATGCCTTTCCTGCACGAATTCCTGCACTCCTGCTCCTGCTCCAGCCCGGCCCCCCCTGGTAGTCCTTCTGTCCCTCTGTGGCAGTAATTAAATTAAGCAATTGCTTGAGATAACATTTCAGCTCTGTTCAGTGTTCAGTGTTCAGCGTTCAGTGTTCAGTGGCCAATTCTCAGTGTTCTTTTTGCCGGGACTCCAGTAACTCCAGTAACGAGTCCCACTAATGATGCCGGGCAGCTGCTACAACAGCCACATCCCGTGTCTCCCCTCGGGCCACTTCCCTGGTTGCCGCTCTAATATAAATATATGGAAATGACTTTATTAAATTACTTTATCTCGGTTTCTGATTCAGCAGCAGACGCCAGGCTCTTGCGGAGAGAGTGGCCCTTTGCAGCCATGCCCACTAACACACACACACACACACACACACACACAAACAGAAAGACAGTCCCTGGTTATAGTCTTTAGTTATAGCACAATTTCCGACAGTTCCTGTTGTCATTCATTCGGCCCTCGACCCCGCCAGCGCAGGAGCTTTGTGGCAGCCTTTGTGTGAAATGTCTGTGAGGGGATTGTGTAGGTCCCTCCATTTGCATACCGTCCACAATGGACCGAGTCCTGCTAGGTAATTGGATGTGGAAACACTTTACGACCAGCCCCATCTGCACCCCCTTGGCAGCAGCACCAGCCAGCCATTGACGGATCGGGCAGCTCTGGCATCCAGCAGCCGGTTGCACATTATCGCTTCCCTCTCCATCGGAATCGGGAGTTTGCCCCTGCCACGGCAGAGCCTTCAGCCCGTCTCCCCCGCTCCCCAGCCGCAGGTTCCCATGGTCCACCAGCACCCAGCCAGTCAATCTCACTCGCCCGTCCATCCCGACCAGCACAATGCAAACAAAGTTTTGTGTGGGGCTAACACCTTTATCTGTGCCGCTCCACCGCACTGGCACTGCCACTGCCACAGGCACCCACCTCCTTCCCTCTTCCCACTCAGGACTCGGTTTCCGTCCCGGTTGCACGGCTTAGGAGTGACTTTGTGGTGCTCCACTGTGGGGTGCCTGTCGTTTAGAGGGCCCTGCGGAGAATAAATCTGCACGGGACGAGGACGGAGGTGGCTCCGAGGTTATAGACTAAGCTGTGGTTAATGCCGATCAGCTTCGGCAGCCACTTTGGTGGCCGCATTATAAAGCACTTGCAAATTAAATCATTTCTCTTATGCTCACACATTAAGGTAAGATTTATCAGTTTGGTTTTTAACTATCCTTTTGATTCCAATGTTTCGGTCGTGCGTTGCGCTTCACTGGGGTCAATTCGGTAGAGGTACTTTATCATTCTGTTGTAAGCTTTAGCTTGTGTATAGGTTTTTTGCGGACGATTTCCGGATTCCCGCCCACTGTGCCGTCATGGATGCTTACTGGTAACACTAATGGACACAAAGACACATTGGCAATTATTACTGGCAAGTAAACAGTTCGCGAGCCTTGCAACCAGGTGAGGCGTGAGGAGAAGGGACAAAAAAGGGCAGTGGGTGCGGCATCATAGGTGGAGCTCTACTCTGTGCGGTTGTCCTACCCGTCCTACCTGTCCTTTGCCCGTTCCGGGGTTTGTTGTGTGCATAAGGGAGTGCGAACATTTATCGAGTTTCGCTCGGCGGCAATGCTCCATCCTGGACTTAAGTCTGGGTCCTGCGTCCTTGGCCACATATTTGCATACACCTCATCATTATGGGTAGCATTGAATCTGTTTCCTCCATCACTGGCACTCGTGCTGACTTCTGGCTTTCATGTTCGCCGCAACAGACCCAACATAACTTTTCGCGAATTGCGCAAATTACATAAGTGGGCGGAGCCCAAAGTTTGGCTTGAAAAAGGGCAGGGACCGATAATTGTGTGATGGATAACGGATAGCAAAAATGCCCAGGGGAAAAGCCTTTGGCGGAACAGGGCACCTGTCCGTCCGGGCAACGGCCTCATCTGTGGCACACACTGGCATTCAGAGCATAGCTACTTGGCCCCGGTTGCCTTCCCCGTTCGGTGATTCGCTTTTCGCATTTACTTTTTGGCACTAACTTATTTACATGCGAACCCTTGAGTGCTCTTCCCATTGGACTCTGATTGATTGATGATGCCGAGGTCTTGGGCCAAACAGCCGTGTAGAGTCCCTCCTATGTAATCCCATTGCAGCTGTAATTTCAGTTTTCCCGGCAGGGTTTTCACTCGCTGAACACCACCGCCTGCCTTGACACACATATCTGCATTTGTTGGCCATTGGAGCTGCCAATGAACTTCCGCCCCTACCCCTATCCACCACTGGTCCCATTCCCAAGATAGCCTGATTACAATTTGACACATTTTTCATGGGCTGGCAGGCTAATTAGAGTAGCCCGCAACGCATGTCCTGCACCTCTTTATCTGTTGAGCATGCTTGGTGTAGTGAAGCAGTAGTTGTAGTTCACATAAAAAGCATGTGTCCCGAATCTCCCGACTAACACTTGGGGGTCACCCTGTTTCTCCTTCCCCCAAATGGATCACAGGTCGTATAAGACGGAAATCGCCGAGATGGAGACGGTGCTCTGAAGCGTCTGGAGCGGAAAGTTAAGCTGCTACGTTTTCGAACTAACTGAAGTCAGAGTGCAATCCTAGACCGAGTTTGTCTAATCAAAATCAACGTTTCAAATAATATGTAAATTGAAAGCTTTCGACAGAGAGATACGAGTAACGGCAAACAAACCCAAGCGCCTCACGAGAATCAACCGCACACACTCGAAAATCGAGAAACTTAAACGACGAGAAACCCAGATTTCAAGATTGTATAAAGTTAAACTTAATGTAACAGTAAAGCAACAGTTAAACTAAAAAGAACACGGGAAACGTAAAAACTGAAAAGCAACCGCCGCACGAGTATTTCATAACATAAGTTTTAAAGAAGGTCGAGGATTAGAAGAAGAGAAACAAGCTAGGGAGATCAACCGTTACATTTTTGACGTTTGAACTGTTAACCGTTAACACAAGGCAGGGGAAAGACGATGAGTAGTTCTAACCCAGAGATGGGTATGTTTGTATTTAATCCGTTTGATTGTTTGTGATTGTTTTTTCCTTTGTTAACTTTTTTTTCGGATAGTAAATATTTACGAAATCATACTCAAGTAAGCGTATGGAAGGGTTACAAACATGCAGGATGAGGACAGAACGAGGCGTAGTTGCCACGCCCATTATTAAATATACACATTAACAGATTTATATGTATTTACCTTGCTATGATTACGACGATATAAATGTTATTGCATATACACGTACATATATATATACATTTAAAGAACAAAACAAGAAATATTTACATATTAATATACATGTATGTACTTATATTTTTTTTCTGGTTTTCTGATTTTGATAAACAAATTGCTTGTGTGCCGCTAACAAAAACAAAGAAAAAACACCAACAAGAATTAGAAGCAAGGCCGAAAACGAAAATTGCATCTCGCTAGGAGATAACCACACGACTACGAGGCTTCAATTTAGTTGCTCCCTTCTGTTAGCTGGTCAACTGTTTGCCAGCGTTCTTGTATTTCTTTTACCTTCACTTCAATTTCGCTTGCACGCCGAAGAATAATCCTTTCGTTTAAGCCCCCAACATCCTTCTCCTATCCAGAAGACATACAAATGAGAATTTGACTTACTAGTAGTTCGACTCTCTTGCATTTGGCCTAAAGTTAATGCAGTCATTCTCTCTTTCTCCCTCTCTTTCTCTCTCTCTCTCTCTCTCCCACAAATTCCACATCCAAATGATGTTTGCAAACAACAATTTAGTATTAAAACAGTGGGCGAGAGGAGGCAGAACAAGGACGAGCAGCTAGAAGAGAGGGGAAGGAAGGAGAAAACAAACCACCACACATCATCACACCATCCCCCAACCCCCCCTTCCCCCCGCTCACACTTACACACTTGCCTAACTAGAAAGAGATAAAAAAAAGTATTTATAAATGTGCATTGTTGTTGTGGCGCGCAAAACATGCTTAAATCAGAATAAAAGTAAACTCGAAATCGAATTAAATATGTAAAAAGTTTAAACGATGAAACGCATCAACTTAAAACGCGACTTAAAAAATGAACTTAACGAAGAACCAGAGGAGATGTGTTGTGTTGGTATTTGTTTATGTGTGTCTTCTAAGTGTTTAGCGAGGATAACGAATACCCTAAGCAAGCGCAAAATGTAAATGTAACGAACAAAATTTAACAATCACTCTTAAGTCGGTATGACAAACTAATCCAACGTTAAAACAAAAAAAAAACACTAGTACAGCAACCAAACTCACACGGCCTTTCGGCTGTGTGTGTGCTTCTTAGATACTCTTTTCGTTAAATGCTAAATTTTTTCAATTAAACCGTTGATGGGTTCCCGTAAAGCTCCCACCCACTCAATGTTTAAAACGACGAGAGAGGTGCGAGACGGCGAAGGCAACGACAACGACAACACAGCACTTTCAGTAACTAGAACAACACTCGACTAACGGACTTGACAGGATATCAGCGAGAGCGAATACAAAGACAAGCAACAAGAACAATGTTAACAGAAAAGCATAAAAACAAAGGAACTTATTGAGTTTTATTTGCAAAAGAGTGATTTTTTGTAGTGAAAATATTTTATACACAAGTTATGGATGATTCGAGCGTGGGAAATAGCGAAATGTTAATTATTACGTATATGTATATATTTTTTAAGAGAAGTTGTTCAGAATATTATACGAGTACTACCAAACAAAACGAGTCGAAAAATGAAAAATGAAGCTGAGGCCAAAGGAAACGCATTATGAAACTGGAAAATGATGTTGCAGACAACAATGTAGTATTAATTCAGTGGGCAAAGAAAAGCAGGACGTGGAAGCAAAAGGAAGAGCGGAAGAGCAAAGGGAAAACCAAACCTTTACGGACAAATTAAAACAAGTAAAACAAGTTAACATTACATTATATAAGTAGTTAGTAATTTAAAACTAAACCCAAAGAAAATAAGCTAAACATCACGACAAATGATACTAAAAGCAAACAAAAAAAATGTTTATGTATACAAAAAGATGTTTTTTTTTTAATATTATTAATGTTATTAAGTTACAAGTGCGAAAAACGAGCGAAAACATTCACGCTGTCCAGACACTAACGCAAACACGCCCAAAGGCGTATACACGAATAACGAGTGCATTTTGTTAGGTGTTAAAGATAAAAAGCCAAAAGAAATCCGAAGAAACATTAACATAAATTGAAATCGAATCAATTTTTAAACGCAATGATATCTCCACGAACATAACGAATTGAGCATAAGCCGCCGGTGAATTTGAATCTAAACTGAATCTAAAATAAGCGAAATAAGTGAGCGCCCTCACCTGTCCACACCAAAGCAAAGGAGAAAGCTGGACGGCACGACGGCTGATTGTACTTCAAGTTACTAACACGACACAATTTTTAAATCACTGATTGAGCAAAGGAGCGTTTCACGTACATCAACTAAATGGAATATGCGTACATTGTTGTGGTAGTTACAGATGGCGAGGAGTAACACGTAAATTATAATATAAACAAACTTGCAATAAATGTGTATACAAAACGTAGCAGGTCTATCACTATGGGGAACGCGATTTCTAAGAGGGAGCGGGATCAGAAAATTGTTTATCACTTACCGACGATAAAATGATGACTTTAAATTAAAATTATTGGTTCCCCTTTGATGGCTATTTGAATTTTAACTCGCACCACTGAGCTTGTGTCAGGCCACAGAATTCATATTTATCGATAGTCTTTTCGATTCTGATGTCCATGGAAATATAAATAAAATATATTTATCTATTAATTTTATTTTCTCGTGTCAAATTTACAAATTTTTACCAGTTGATTTAAATTTAAATAAAACTTAACAAACACCTGTTTATTGGCCATATTCATTAGATTGATTTTTTTTACTTTCTTAATAAATATTAGATATATTCATACAAACATCGATAATATCGAACAATTATAGATTATAATTTAAAATGGATATCGAAAAGCTTTCTAATGTCCCATTCGACCTAAAAGGTATTTGCCATGTTTGTAACATGTTTGTTAAAAGAATGTTTTCCAAAAGTTTAAAATCACGGAGTTTGTCGACCGTTAGTGCCCTCGCTATCGTAGTATGATGTCTTCGCTAAGTTAGGAGGGTGAATCGGATAGGTTGAGGTAGAAAAACAAGACGGCCACGGACACATACCCGGATCGGTAGCCAGACATCGATTTCGAAATTTAAAACATCGATACATTTGTGAGACCAACGTGTGTTGACTTGTCTCCACCCCTGCCGTCCACTCGGCCATTTTGTCAAAAATCCCAGCGGCATCTAGACGTAAGTGCTCCTTGTTTTTAGGCTTGGTAAAGCTATTGGAATGTTGGTGAATCAAAAACAGAGGCATCCGTGCCGATGCGGACGTCGTCTTCCGTAACCACGTGAAATGTGGATGAACTAATAGGATGAGCCTTCGCTTCAAAGTCTAACGTCGAGCAGGCCCGCAAAAATTACGGGTGTGATGTTTGCCCACGTGAAGGGGCCGCGTTTGAGGTTACGGCGAGACATTAACATGAGTTTTTCCATCCGTAGGTCCGTAACTCTTTCAACGTTAACATGTCGGGAGGCTTAGATATTCTGTCCCTCAAGGAGGACGACATTACCAAGATGTTGGTGGCCACCACCCACTTGGGATCTGAGAACGTAAACTTCCAGATGGAGCAGTATGTGTACAAGCGCCGTGCCGATGGCGTCAACATTCTGAACCTGGGCAAGACCTGGGAGAAGCTGCAGTTGGCGGCCCGTGCTATTGTGGCCATTGAAAACTCCTCGGATGTGAGTATATGTACAGCTTTTCGGGAGAGGTGGGGACGTGCGGCGTGGCTTACATGATGAGTTTACAACTAATCTTTCGGGTATGAAATTCAATGATTTCACTTTCACCGCTGACCAGCCACGCCACACACAGCATTGGAGTAATGTTCCTCAGTCTTCGTCAGTTGAAGTAACCTCTAATAAAGCATGTCTTCTTCTTCCTCAGGTTTTCGTCATTTCATCGCGACCCATTGGCCAGCGCGCCGTGCTGAAGTTCGCCAAGTACACGGACACCACTCCCATCGCCGGCCGCTTCACTCCTGGTGCGTTCACCAACCAGATCCAGCCCGCCTTCCGCGAGCCGCGTTTGCTGGTGGTGACCGACCCGAACACCGATCACCAGCCCATCGTGGAGGCCAGCTATGTGAACATCCCCGTGATCGCATTTACGAACACTGACTCGCCGCTGCGCTACATCGACATTGCCATTCCGTGCAACAATAAGTCGGCTCACTCCATCGGTCTGATGTGGTGGCTTCTGGCCCGCGAAGTGCTCCGTCTGCGCGGCACTATCTCACGTAGCGTGGAGTGGCCCGTGGTCGTCGATCTGTTCTTCTACCGCGATCCAGAGGAGGCTGAGAAGGAGGAGGCCGCAGCTAAGGAGCTGCTGCCGCCACCCAAGATCGAGGAGGCCGTCGACCATCCGGTCGAGGAGACCACCAACTGGGCCGATGAGGTGGCCGCCGAGACTGTTGGCGGAGTGGAGGACTGGAACGAGGACACCGTCAAGACGTCTTGGGGCAGCGACGGCCAGTTCTAAGAAATCAGAACCACGCATGACACTTCATCAACACAGCTTTTTGTTGTTAAGCGCCTCTTCCGCGGAATAAATAAACATATTTTATGTTTATATCTAAACAGCACGTTTTTTTTTATTTTCATGCTTGGTAGATGATACCGTTTATATGATGAGCAACGGGTTTTAAAGGCATTGATCTTAATGCTACTTACTAGTAGTTTCAATTCTTTAAACTAATCGTTATGCAAGGTATTCAGGCAGAAATATTTGAATGACGTGTTGAAAAAATTTCTTAGTTTTGGAATGTTTTCAACCGGTAATGGATTATTGTATTTTTAATCACATCGGCTGTTCCTGCTTTTAAAATTGGTTTGTATGCTGCTTTCGTTCCTTTTCTTTTTCATTGTATTTGAGCTTCTCTAATAAGAGGGAGAAACCAGCTTATTGCTGTTTCACTCTAGTCCCCCACACAAATGCATCCATGTCTTTCAATTTACAGTATTAATTTATTGTTTTTTTCGACTTTGTACAAATAGAAAACAGTTAATAATCGCAATTGCGAATTGCTCATATTGTATTCATATACATATAGTTTAATTCTCCCGCCAAACGTACAATTTTAGTGGTTTCGTTTCTCATCCGCCAAAAATAGGAAACAAAGGTGTGTAAACGAACACGTAAAAATAATGTTAGACAAAAATGGTATAAATCAGGTTAAACTATGTACTGATATAATCATATTTGTGTAGCGGCGACTTGACATCATTCAAATTTGGACAAAGTAATCAAATGTTTGGTAGTCGTCTGCTCCATCAAGCACTATTTAAATGGATTCGGACGCGCCTTGAATAACGTCATCTTGCGTATCTCCTTAATCTCCTCCTGCTCGCATCTCTTCCGTTGTTCGTCGTGCTGCAATGGCGGAGAGAATTTTGGATTAGCATGATAATAGATCGGTCTGGTGTTAATCGGTGCCTGGTCCTGGTCCAATGTTCTTGATAGCGGCAGCTGCATGCATTATAATTAAGTGTGGGCTTCACAAGCACAACGTATACTTCAATCCGAGGCCAGAATGACTAGTCGCCTGACTCATCCGCCGCCTGGAGACGCTCCCACTGGCCATCTAACCCTATCGTTTCAGCTGAGTCACGGCGCGAGTTGCAGGCCGATAAGCCGGCCTTGGACTGGGTGCGGATACGGGGATCATCACAGCTCACTTGATATTTGTTCCACCCCACTTGTTTGCCAGCGGGAAATAGAGAAGCAGCAGCCGCCGTACCCACTTGGCTGATAAGATTATCAAGCAAAACGGAATTTGCAGTAAATGAAAAACGCGAGAAGAAACCAAAAACAGAGCCAAGACAAGGTCGAAGTCACAAGTAATGTTTAACGGAAATCATCTTATACTGCTTGTTTTAAAAATTATGGTTGGGACATTTCTATAGCTATTTAAGGGGTTAATCTTGTCTTTACAATACCCAAAAGGTAATTTTTTTTATCTATGTATGAATAGGTGCTGGGTATTTAAGGTAACTGCAAGTGCAACAATAGTGCAAAAGAACATGTGCTGTGGATGAGTTCAAGCGCACCGCTTTGAGATATCTACCATGATCCTTTGCTAATTGGTCCGCTCAGCAAATACCGCCTGTCGTTGCGACGGCAGTCGGCGCATTCTGGACGGTTGGTGCCTCCTGAGGAACCTCCAAGCTGCTGGCCGCCGGTGCGGAGGTGGCGGAGGAGGGGGAGGTTATCGTGGAGGAGTCGTCGGCGGCGGAGAGCACGCTACTGTCGCCGTAGAAGCGCGGTTCGTCGTGCGACTCGCCACCCGGGGAAACTGTCTCTTCGTCGGAGTCTTCATCGTTCGAGCTGTCACCGGTCGTTGTGTTAAGCTTGTTGCCGGTAGAGGTGGCAGCGGCGGACGAATTTTCGCCAGCTGCATGAGAGCTGGGCACTTGCTTCAAGCGCTCGTAGCAGGCATCACAAACGCGTAGCGCCTTGGTGCTCTGCTGCGGCAGCAGGAACTTCTTGGTCGAGCATCCGGCACAGACGACGGCACCGCAGTTACGGCAGTGGTGGCGCCGCTGGATAAAGGTAAACTGCGTCTTCTTGCAGTGCATGCAGACGCTGGCGTCAGTGTCCGGTACCCAGACGGCGGCGTGGTTCTCGACCGGCTTCTTGCCGCTTTTGCGCAGCAGATCCTCCACACACTTGTTGATGTGGGCCATCCACTCCTGCTTTTCGGTGCTGGTGGCCGCGAACACAACAAAGGACTTGGTAGTGGTGCGGATGTACCAGCCGTTCCTGTACGCCTGATTGTCGGCGATCGACTCCAGCGAAACCTCCTCCAGCGGCATAATGTGCTGCTTGTTGTACTTCTTTTTGCCAATTACGATGTTGCCGTACACCAAGATGTCATTGAACAGGAAGAACTGGCGCGACTTGGGTCGCTTTCGGCACATCTTGGTTAGGACGCCCTCGCCCACGAGAACGCGGCCCTGCATAGCTAGCGGCACGCCCGAGCTGCCGAAGCAGTTTTCTACGGAGGCGATGCGTCGGGTGTTGGCTTCAGAGTTGACAAGGCGGTCCACCATTATGGGTATGGGTTTGTTTTTGGGTTCGCTAGTGGGTTTGGCGAAAGTTGCTGTTCACACAGTCGGAATCCGAGTCTCAATCCGAATCCGAATCGAAAGGTAACCAACTGTGACGACAAACTGGGCGGCTGTATGCGTGCGCTGCGTTTGTGTGCTTGTGTTAAGGTCGGTGTGTGTGGTGTGACACTCAATGCCACTGTTCCAGTGCGAGGATGTCACACAGTGCGTGTTCGGACTGAGCGCAGCTGTTGCAAGTCCTGCGGGTGGCGGGCTGATCCTGCTTCAAGTCCTGGAACGCGAAAGCGAGTGTTTTCTTTATGCAATGACGATTGTTAACTGTCTTTTTCTACGCCGTCCGAAACGTCATGACTCACTCACACCACAGCAACAAAAACAAACTGGGCTCTCTGGCTCGCTCTCTCCTTTCCCCGCACTAGTTCCGTTTCTCTCGCGTCACTTTGTGTTGTTGTTGTTTCCGTGGTGGCCGTTCCAACTGTATGTAAGCGTCAAGTTTTAACTGGGTTTATTTTAGAGTTGGGCCCTCGGCACTAAAAAACTTGAACAGGGCTCCGGACTGAACGAAATTCCGAATTCTATGTGCAGTTGGAGCAACAGAAACTTGGGGGCCTGCGACTGGAAATAAGTTTATTTTGCAAGCACAGTGTGACCGCGCGCGGATCGCAACAAATACCGGGCACTCAGTGCTGTATAACGACTTATTTCAGTGTATCACCGAATTTTTCAAACGCACCGGGAATGTCACTGTGAACTGAAATTGTTGACAGGAATACACAGTGAGCACTCGAGTACGAAAACAGTGGCGGTTGAAAAATAATTCAACTAGAATATTGAAAATATATATATAAAAAAAAATAATTGAGCTCTTTGAAGTTCATACTAAGAAGCATAAACTGTATAATGTATTGATATCAGATATTATTAAATGAACACTGGGTAAATTTCACTTGAATACAAAGGACGAATTTCCTAACTATGATATTTATGTATGTATGTTTTCAGGGCACCGAAAAACCCACTACCAAACTTTAATATTTCATTGAACCAGACTTTACCTCCTTCTTCTTCTGTTCCAGGCCGGCTTGAACAGCGGCATCAAATTCGCGGCGGTCGCGCACTCGCTGCCCACAGCGCAAGTTGAAGGGCTTCGATCGGGTGTCAGCAAGATGCCCTGGCTCCTGGTCGTCCTGGCAACGCAACGCCTTCCTTGTTTGCGAATGCTTGAGTGTTTCGGGGGGTGATTGGAACGGTGATCGTGTGGATGACGGCCAGCTCGGCCATGCGTTTGTGCATCGCCCTAAAATTGGGCATGGGTCTGCTGTGGAACTGGCGCGCCTTGCTTTCCTCCTCGGATCGCTTGCGCAACGCCTGCTGTCGCTTGCTTTCGTACACGTCCTTGAACTGATAGGCCTTGGGGGCGGCAATGGTACCGACTTCTGCCATGACGCCAGCGGCCGCAGGGTGTTGGTGGCGCGGTGGAGACCACTGCAGGCGAAGATTGGCACGGACCGCGGGCGGAGGAGGTCCGTCGTGCACCATGTGCTGGTCAGCCTCCGTCATGTATTTCTCATCCTCATCCCAACTAAGGGGGATATTCTGTTTGGTGTCGATTTGATGTTTTTCGCCAGAATTCTCTCGGATCTTTGGCTTTGGCTCATCAGACTCCATTTTGGGCTCTTGGGAACCATCTTCTGCTTGCTCTTTAAATTGGTTTGGATGCTCTTTCTTCAGTTCCTGTAGGGGCTCGCCCTTCGATTCGCCGACTTTAAGTGGCATCAAGTCCTTGGATTCGCAATCGTCTGGTTGCTCTTTAAATTGGTTTGGATGCTCTTTTTGAGTTCCTGTAGGGGCTCGCCCTTCGATTCGCCGACTTTAAGTGGCACCAAGTCCTTGGATTCGCAATCGTCTTGTTCCCGACAGAATTTCTGCGGTGTTGGGCAGGACATGCTGCGGTTAGCATTGCTGAGTCGTTTAAGGTTCTCCTTGTTGGCCGCTGTTGTAGGGAAATGCAAAAATTGCCAGAAAAAAAAAACAGTAAAATGGCGCGTTTTTTTAGCTTGCCTGCAATAAGGTCTTTATACGCACCAAAAAAGTTTTGGGAGTGATCCAACTGGTAGTCGCCGACGTTGATAGCGTCCCAGTCGAACTCTGGTTTTTCGAAATTTGAGTTCAAGTTCTCCATGGTATTTTCAATATTCACAACCGAACGATCTAATTCAAACAACGAATAGCAACTCACGCTCAGGCGGCCTTGCCAAGAAATGTACGCAACACTGCGGGTGTTTTGCAACACAGATATCAGATATCGATAAGTCGGTCCGCGCGCAATTTAAATTTCGGTGTAGTAAAAGCTATTTAAAACAAATTGATATACTTTGTTTATAAAATTTTTACCCAAACTGTGTAGTTATATTAAAAAAACTAACAAAACAAATCATGTATTAGCTTTTTTAAGGCTCCGAAAATAAATACTCGCCTGAGTCAAAGACATTCTGAAGCTGCTACTAAAGCTTTTTCAGAGAAATCAGAAGCAGCAGTGTACGGTAAAAGTGAAATCTCTAGGCGGAATATAAATTTGTCCTCTTAAAGTCCCCGTGGACCATCGGCGAAACGTCCTGTGGGCCACACGTGTGCACCTGTCGCTCCTCGGAAGCGCCTTGAAAGCTGGCCGCAAGCTTTGGCTGAAAGCTGGGCCTCAGCAAACAGCAGTTGGCGTCCAAGGCGGTTCGCAGTCTGTGCTGGAAAGTGCATGGCAACAGGTCGTGCGCCGCATCGCCCGCAGGATCCTTAGCGTCCGCATCTGCAATCGTATCCTCGGATTCCTCGGAGACTGACTGAACTCGCGCCTTAGGCAAGCCCACACTGCTTATTTTCGTTTTGGCAGTTGGGATACGCAATTAGGGGAATTCCCGTGCAGGCGGGGGGATTTGCGCGGGCTAAAAAAAAACCGCCCAATCCTCTTAGCATCCTTTAAGCGCCAAATCAAAAGGAAACGTCTCGAGCGCCAAAGTGAAAGACAGGCGTCAGAGCGGAAATGCGTGCCGCGCTTCTGCAATTAGCCGGATCCGATGAACAGGTGAGCGGAGCAGGTGGCAGCCTCTCCTGGGTCTGTATTCAAATTCTGCACCTGCTAATAAATTGAGAAAGACGAGGACTTAGAGGCTGCAGCTAATTACGGTAGTGCAGTCCAGCTTTAATTGGAAGCATCTGCACCTGGCTGTACTGGAAGCCAAGCGGCCTTGAGCGCAGACCTTGTGGTCCTAATTGCCAGGCCCTCTTTCAGCGCCCGCCTCCCCCCAAAAAGGGAGGCTATTTCCGTTGAGTTGGCCCACCACCCAATAAGATCTTGCGAATCAATAAAGGTTTAAAATTAACCGTCAACCGAGCGAGACGGCGATAGAAGTGCGTGCATGTTGACTTGACTCCCCATCCCGCCCCTTTTCAAAGCATCAATGTACCTGCGAGAGCGGCAGATAACTGTAACTTGTGCGTGCTCTTTGGACGGGAGCGGAAGCGGGGGACAGATAGTCGGAGACAGTGAACGGAAGCAAGAGGAAATTAGATTACAAGACATAAGCGAAGGATTCCAGTAAGAGGAACAAGGGTGAAGCGATAGTTGGGAAGTGAGAGCTCCTGGTTATTAGCTACTCATACTTACTCACCCACTTATTTCGATCTCTATTTTCCCGTTTTGTGAACGTTTGGTGAAAGTAAGGGGGGTGAAACTAAGTACCGTTGTCTAGCAACCATAATAACCGCAGGAGGCAACCGCAATCCTCTTAGCGGAAGAAGGACACCAGATTGCAGGGATGCTGCATTCACCCCACTTCCCTCACACACACACCTACGCACTTTCACTCGTAAGTCTAATTAGGGGGAGGATGAACACAATGCCTTGTTTCACATTGTTGTTGCTAGACGTGCTTTTACTTGATTCCATCATTTCAATGGAGCAATACCGTTTTGACCACTGCCATAGGAAGTGCTTCAGATCTCGATCGGTTTGTTGCCCAATCTAAATATTCTTTGATAAGGGAGCTCCACAAAAAGAACCCCACAAAAATGGATTTCTTCCCCTTCTGTCGAACCCATTCAAAGAACGAGACAGAAAATCAATAAATCGGGATTTAATGAGTTTCAAATATTTGCCACGAAAAGATGTGTTTTGGGGTGTGTGAGCCGTGTGGGGTCGTAATGTTGGGGATGGAAGTGGGTGGGAGCACGCTTATGAAGATGCCTCTTGACGTGGGGCCCTTTTCCCTTCGCCCCTGTCACTCTAAGCCCGGGCTTACACAGAGCAACAGGAGGAGGAAGCAGTCTAGAAGCAGCTAGGAGGGAGAAATAAAGTCTTCGGTGAGGAAAGCTTTAAAGGACGCTCATTTGATTCTCTGCTTCCAGGCGGACAGGATGCTCCTGCTGTCCTGAACGAACCCGCTTAGAAACACAGAATGACGAGTACCAACATCGACTACGACTACCTGCTTAAGTTCCTAGTCCTCGGCGACTCTGGAGTGGGGAAGACTTGCCTGCTCTACCAATACACGGATGGCCGTTTCCACACTCAGTTTATCTCCACCGTGGGCATTGACTTCCGCGAGAAGCGGCTGGTGAGTGAATCATAGCCTAATATACTTTGATCGGCAAAGGCAGGCCCAAAACTGTTTACTCATACAATTCAAATAAGGTTTCCAGGAAAACCAAATAAATGTAATGCAATTAAAATACTAACAACATCAAGAAGACGTTTGAAACGACAAGGCCAATAATTTTGAATTTTTATTTCTAAAAAAATGATAAACTAAAACATTGTAAGAGCTTTGAATTCCTATCCAAATTGTTCCGGCCTTGTATTTCAAAAAGCAATCAATCGATATCTTTAATACTAAATTCGTGCTCCCGCAGCTGTACAACTCCCGCGGACGTCGCCATCGCATCCACTTGCAGATCTGGGACACTGCTGGTCAGGAGCGCTTCCGCTCGCTGACTACCGCATTTTACCGCGACGCCATGGGCTTCCTACTTATTTTTGACCTGACCAGCGAGAAGAGCTTCCTGGAGACGGCCAACTGGCTGTCGCAGCTGCGGACGCATGCCTACTCGGAGGATCCGGACGTGGTGCTCTGCGGCAACAAGTGCGATCTTCTGCAACTCCGCGTGGTGAGCCGCGACCAAGTGGCGGCCCTATGCCGACGCTACCGATTACCCTACATTGAGACGAGTGCCTGCACCGGCGCCAATGTCAAGGAGGCCGTCGAGCTGCTGGTGGGTCGCGTCATGGAGCGGATCGAGAATGCGGCCTGCAACCGGGAGTTCTCCCTGCTGCTCACCCAGTCGCGCTGCCTGCCGAACATCGCCTATGGGCAACCGGAGCAGCTGCGTCTCCATGACCGGACGGAAGAGCGCTCTCCGCGGCGGAATTGTCGCAACTGCTAAGTCCGGAGCCCCAAACCCTCTGTTTCTCATTCCTTCCACTTCAATATTGACTCTTGTTTCCAGGTCTAAGTGTGTTTCGCTGTAAATAAATGTTGATTGTTAAGTAAAGGAAGGCCGTCTGGCATGGGTTTTTATTCAAGAGGCTTACAGGTGGGCTTATGTCGGGTGCTCCAACATTGGGGGCCACTGCTCAGTTCCTTGATAAGAAAGCCGAATCGAGATACTTATCTCACTCTTGTTAAACTCGACAGACCGATAGATAATAACTACATTTGCATTGATGCCTCATTAGAAAGTTGGATACCTTGTAACGTTTGCTATAGTTCCTATTATATCGTTTTTCAGACTTACTATTCTATGGCTTAGGTCTTATAATAGGTGTACAAAAAATACTTTACGATTAACTAATGTCTACTGAAATAGAAACTCTTTAGCCACGAACAGAGAGCACAGCATCAGTATTATTATTTCGGGACTTATCCTGAAGTGCGGGACCCCATTGTGTTCCTCGATCCACTGGCGGTAGTACCACACGTCCACGTAGACGCCCGGCAGTCCCGGCTCCGCACATCCGTAGCCCCAGGAGACGACACCAACCAGTCGGCCCTCGTGCACCAGTGGTCCGCCGGAGTCTCCCTGACAGGAGTCGGTGCCGCCCTGCAATCGTCCGGCACATAGCATTCCGGGCAGCAAGCCGGACGAGTAGATCGCCTCGCAGGTCTGCTGCCGAATGATGGAGACGTTGGCCGTCATTAGGACGTTGGACAGAGAACTCTGGCGGAAAACGAGGGAACATTTTATTTGTATGTTGCCTTAAGCCATAATTCTGCAGAGAATAACATTCGCAGAAATCAAAACTATCATAATGAATTTCCAAATTTCCAAATAATGTACACACATAGTTCAAAAAGTATTTTCTAAGTCTTTGCCTATAATATTCTAGGCAGTGGGAAAATACCATCTGATGGATAATTTCTCAGGCCCATGTTTTAAAATCTCTTTTTCAACTCACCGTCTCTGTGCGCCCCCAGCCAGACACCTGACACAGACTTCCGGAGGGCGTGACCTGTTCCGGGAGCTGGATGGGGGCCACGGTGAGGTGGACGCCCTCAGATGGCAATCCAGTCCGGAGGAAGAGGAGGCCCACGTCATCGCGCATGCTCTCCGGACTGAAGGTTTGCATGTAGGCCATGGAGCTCACTCGGGACACGATGGTTCCGTTGATTTGCTCGAAACGGTTCAGCGTGCCAAGGACCACGACGAACTCGCTGGCCTTTCGATAGCGCTTCTTCTGGGAGCTGCAGGCATCGTCCGTTAAGAAGGTGAGGGGGCACCTGGCGGGAATTCAACTTACTTGTACAAACAGTGTGCGGCCGTAAGGACCTTCGAGGGTGCGATAAGCGACCCTCCGCAGATGTGGCCATTGCCGAAGTTGCCGTCGTGCGAGCGGAGGCGAATGGAGGCCAGGTGGCGACTCTCGTTCGCCGTGGCTGCGATGCCATTGATGATGCGCGGCTGCGGCTGCAGCGTCTGATCCTCCTCTGCCCTGCAGAAGAGGAGTTGCAAAAGAATGCAGGTGCAGATCTTCAACGAGATCCTCGCCATTGCAGTTCAGGTGAAAAAAAAGAGTCAGAGTTGAGTCAGCGCACGAAACTCACTAAAAACCGTGCTGAAAATCGAGCTGTTGGGAGGCTAACAATTGGCAATCAGCCTCGGCCCTATCAGCTCGATAAGGCAAACATAAACATATTAGGTGCCAATCACACCCGCTTTTTATCACCGATGACGAGCTAGTTGGTTTGCAGAAGAAATAATGTGAAATGAAAAAGGGATCTTTATGATCGGTTAACTTTTGGAAATTCAAATAATACAGTACGTTTGATTTAATATTGATTTGTCTTCACACCAGTTTGTATAAAAGGGCATGGTATGTAATATTTGTTTCTGTATACATTTTTGAGCCTAGGTAGAAATTAAAATTTTAAGTTAAAATCTGTGCTCTAACGTTTCATCTTGCTCTTATTTTAGTATAATTATAAAGTGTCAAGTATAAATGGAGCGGAGCCGAGCCGCATCGAGCGGTGGTCAGAGTTCGCGTGTATAAATATGTATTTATATTCGATTGTTAAAATTTGGGGAGTAAGTCTAACGTTGAAGGCACTTCGGACGGCGTCGGTTGCAATGGAAAGGGGCACGAGATTGCTTGTGGAAACTTAAACTACGAATTCAAGAGAAGTGGAATGCATTAAAGGCAGCTGCGAGCTGTCAGGTCTTCAACTCCTATATATAGCCCTGCAGACTGCGCGACTGGCTGTGGTGGTGGCGTGGCGGCTGGTAGCCTGGCTCCTGCATCTCCATTTGCATGACCAGGTTCTTCTGCTCGCCACGGGCCTCGTAGGCCTGTCGGGCCTCGCGCTGGAGGATCAGGGCGGCCAGTCCCAATAGCATAAAGGTGACCACGGCCAGAGCGTAGGACCAGCCCAGAACGTTGAACTTAGGGTACATCATCCAGTCGCGGCGGTAGGCGCAGCCTCCGAAGATGCACACGGCCAAAAACATGAACAGAGCTGTAAATGTACCCATATTAACCGCAAGCTAAAAAAATTAGATTAAGATTGGGATTACGTACAAGATACGGCGGTACCCAAGTAGGCAAGGCGGACCAGCAACCACTCGTACTGCAGCACGGCCTTCAATGGCAGACGAATGATGGTCAGCGAGAGCAGGGAAAGCACGAGAAACACAATGATAAAGGACATGGTTACAAAGCCCTGTACCGCCATTAGCCAGCCGGGTAGAAGGTAGGCACGGATCACGTAGTAGTCCTTTTGATGAAAGAAAATTTAATTGAGAATCAAATTAGATGAGACATTGCTAGTTCTCACGTGCGAAAAGATGTTGTGGCAGCCATTGAACTGCTTGAGAAACGGGTACTTGGGGTACACAAAGTCCTTGAAGCAGTACTGCCAGAGACCCATGTTCTTAAAGGAGGAGCGCGTCTCCTCGTACGACTCGATCCAGTAGGGCGAACAGAAGGACATCATCAACACGAAGAAGCTGGCGAAAGTGACGATGGCGCCGAAGACCACGCCATCTGGAGACGGGATTGAGGATTAAAATATTGAAACCAGAATGGGTGCAACTCCCGATCTTTTCAATCTTGGGCGTAACTTACTAGTCGCCCGCGGATAATCGCCCTTCTCCACGCTTGTGTCCGTGGTGTCCTGTGACTGCTGCTTGTTGAGTTCACGCATGGTGCTATCCTTATTCTTGATTGGATCTCAATTGGATCGGAGTGATTTTTCTCTTTTTTTTTTGAGGAATAGTAGCGTAAACAAATGAAACTCGCACACACCCAAAAAAAATGCGGCCAGATCGAAAAATAGGTGGGGCACAGACAGTGTTGCCAACTCTTCTGGTCATAAAAAGCTAAAGTAACAAATGAAAGAAGCTAGAAACCGCCAAAAAAATTTAATGATTGCTTAATATAAAGCTACGTTAGTAAAACGATATTATTATTAATTTGATTTATTTAATAAGTATTTTGAGTAGTTCCTAAATTTCGTCAATCATGCGCTCTTCGCCTGCTGAATTTTAGTAGGTCTGATTGGTTCCAATCTTTTTTAGGCAATCTGCTGCGACTTCATAGTTATGACAGCATTTATTTTCCCGTCGTAGTCCGTATCTACAAAAATGATATTTAATGTTATTAATATTACAAAATATGGGTTGAACAGATAAAATAGTAATAGATGCTAATGCCGAAAATCTTTTAATTTCCTCAGCATCCACGTAGTTAGACACTTGGGACTTTTTTGCATTGGAACAGAATATCTCCAATATTTTCCGATTCCAGCTTAATGTGCTCGAGGATGTGCACAATTTCAGCCTTCTTTGCACATAATATTTTGTTCACGGAAAACAAATCAGTTTGTTTAAGTATTTCAAAATTGTCTGGCGATCTAAACAAGAATTCGGAACTTAGCAAAGAAATATTACAATTACTCTATAAGAATACCTCTGATTGAGCTCATTAAATAATACTAATATAAAAATAACACATTTAAAACAAATTTAAATGCGGGGTCTTACTTCCAGGCATAACGCGGCTTTTGCTTATAAATCTTGAGCATTTTAACTCTCATACGCTTTTTAGACTAGAAAATTATGATGTAGCCAGATGGTGATCGTATAAAACTAGAAAAATGTATAAAAATGTGAAGATCTTTTGGCATATCGATGTTTTTTTAACAATCCAATGCAAGAATACACCATTTAATAACTAGAAGTGTGGTTTCAGTGGTTTAAAAAAGTACTAGCGGGAAAATAGCTAGATTGGCAACATTGGAAACAGTGTTACCGTGGCTGCTTTTGCGGAAAACACCACAGAGCCACAGGTACATTTTTTTTTTTTTACCAAATTTGGCTATTTGTGTCTAGCAAGAAATTGTTTATGTTTTGTTATTTCAGTCTTCAATAGTTTGCTCACATCACCATCACGTTAAATGCTGAAAGAGTCGTCCAATGACAAAGGGTATAACAACACAAAGAAAGGCTTTAACAATTACCTACGGTTTTAACAAAAGAATGTTTTGTTATTTATCACTTGTTTCAATGCGACCTTTACCCATCCTGGTTAGTATGGTCACACGTGAGGTTTCTTTAAAGGAAACTCTTAAATTTATTTTAACTACACTATATGCAAGAAATACTAAATTGCTCCATCCACCTCGTGGTGCTCCAGATGTTTCATGTAGGCCAAAAAGCAGGTCCAGCACAGACTGCACGCGCTGATGAAAGGTACCCGGTTGCGCTCGGGGATCACAGTGAAGTTAATGGTGGCCACAAGAGGCCAAACAGAGAGCGCCACCTGTGTATAGAAAATTGCGGTTTGAAAATTTTGAAAGCAAATTTCACTAAAAATTCACCTTGTAGGTAGGCAAAAACTTCTTGCCGACTTCGGCCACCGCCTCCTCCACCGTTTTAGACTCCAGTAGGCTCATAATGAAGTAGAAGCAAGTCATGGCGCCGGGGGTGTAAGAGATTGTCTCCACCGCAGCCTTAATGACACCTGTCCGGAGCGACGTCTGTGGCCACATGGCACTAGAAATCTGCGAAGCGCTGGAAGTAGAGAAAAATTGGAATGGAAACGGCAATAACCTACCTTGACCCATCCGTAAAGTGTGGGGGCCACGAAAAGTCCCCCGTACATACTAAACCGAATCACGCGCCACCAGTCGTAGGTTCCTGAAAGATCCGAGAGTAAACAGGATGAGAAGCTATTTTCAGGGAAATTGTGGAATTACCCCAGCGCCTGCCTTCCACCGTCTGCTGAATGAGACTTCCCGTGGGCCAGATCAGGCTGTATGATATCATGCCGCGCATTATCGGGTAGCGAGTAACGAACACCTTGAAGTTTTGCCACAGCAGTGGTCCCGCCATTGCAATCTAGACCCTGCGGAGTCATAATCACGAGGTTTGCATTTCATTAGCATGGCTAATTGCTCCCGCCCCAACTACATGGCCAGCTCCACCCAAAACCTCCTCAAATGCGGGCTCCCAAGTTCCATAAATTGACCTGATCTGTTAGTAAAACGCACACAGACAAGGCCGACATGGCTCTGTTTGCACTGCTAGCACTGCTTCTCCTGGTCACCTGCGTCTTGGCAGGAGGCTCTAGAGAGGATGGCAAGATCGTCAACGGCACCACGGCAGCCCCAGGAGAGTTCCCCTTCGTGGTGTCGCTGCGCCGCGCGAAGAGTGGCCACCACTTCTGCGGCGCCACGCTGCTCAACTCAGACTGGGTCTTGACCGCCGCTCATTGCGTGCACAGGTCCACGCCCGATCAGATTGACATTCAGTACGGAAACCAGAGCCTGGCGCGCAATGCCAGTCAGCTAGCCCGCGTTGCCGCTATTTTTGCTCATCCAGGCTACGAGCCGCAGGACAAGTACATCAACGACATCGCCTTGCTACAGTTAGCGCAGTCCGTCCCCCTGAGCAAGAACGTCCAACCAACACGGCTGCCGGAACCTGGGCAAGCTACACCCGGAAACACCAGTGCAATCCTCGCGGGCTGGGGATTAAATGCTGTAAGAAAGTTGTCCTTTCCAAGGAGGCGATTGTTATATTCTTCCTCTCATTTTAGACCGGTGGCGTGGTCCAGCGGCATCTGCAGAAGGTGATACTGCATGTGTTCAGTGATGAGGAGTGCAGCGAGCGTCATCAGACCCAGCTACATAACAGCCAGATCTGCGCCGGATGGCCCGAGGGAGGAAAGGGACAATGTAGCGGCGATTCCGGCGGCCCCCTACTGCTCAATGGCTCCGACACACAGGTGGGGATTGTTTCCTGGAGCATCAAGCCCTGTGCCCGACCACCCTTTCCAGGTGTCTTTACCGAGGTGTCAGCTTACGTGGATTGGATTGTAGAGACGGTGGGCAGCTCTTCGGCGCCGACTTCTCTTTGGGTGGGCCAGCTAATCGTTGGTCGCTCACCACCTGGTCTGAGCAGCTAGGCAACTGTGCAAACCCCATTAAAATACCGATTGATGACTCTATACAGATAATAACTCTATCTAATTCAACAATTGACCTAATGGACACACAACAGGTAGCGAATACGGCATGTGGGGAACTATGTACAAACAAAACTCGCGGCATCCGACGGCTCCTCATGGCGTGTCTTCATGTAAGCTAGGAATATGGTCCACATCAGGCTGCAAATGCTTACGAACACCACGCGATTGTGCTCCGGAACCAATGAGAAGTTTATGGTTTGCAGGAAGGGCCAGATGCACACCCCGACCTGAATAGTTAGTAATGATATGGCTATGAGCGGTGGGGAGCAGTTAGCAGCGACATAAGCGTTACCTTGTACGTGGGCGCCGCCTTCTCCTTTGTCTCGTCCACAGCCTGGCTAAAGGTCTTCAGCTCCAGCAGGCTCATGCCCATAAAGAAGCTGACGCAGGCGAAGGGTCCATAGGAGAGCTGCTCTGTGATGGCCTGCAAAACGGTCGTTGAAGCTCGGGCGGCGGGTTAAGTGGCAGTTCTTACCTTTATGACGCCAGTGCGCAGATTTGTGTGTGGCCACATGGCGCTGGTTAGTCGCACCCAGCCGTACAGAGTGGGCGCCACGTACAGGGCTCCAAATAAGCTGAAGCGGAGCGCCCTGGCCCAGTCGTAATCTCCTGTGGGTCGCCAATGGAGCAGCGTTAACGTATGCGGAACAGGATAGGATTATGAACGGGTTGCGAATGCTGGCTTTACTTACTTAGCTTGCGTCCCTCTAGCGCCTGCTGAATCAGGCTACCCGCTGGCCACATGACCGCGTACGTAAGCGCACCCTTGGCCATAGGATGCAGTTTGGGCGCGCTGATTACGCGTCGCCACTGGCCCAGCGAACCCTGAAACAACTTCACAGCCTGGGGCACCATCACATTAATGCTGGCCAGGACGGAAAACAGATCAGCTATTGCCAAACATTAACTAATGCCCACAACAACAAAAGCAACAACGACGAATGGTTCGAGCTCTTCGAAAGTCACTGGTCGCGAGGGGAGAGGGTCAGGAGCTGGCCATGGTCAATGTGGAAAGAGGATACTTGCTGTGATGTAGGGCCGTCCCGATCTCGATAGATGTATCTAGCTATTGCTTGCGTCGAACGCTGCAACGAAACTAGCTGCGAGATGAGTGCAATTTCTAAATTCGAACATGGCATTCGGGATGCACAATTATTAGGCATTTTCTTCGCGCTGAACTTGACCCTCAGCCGAGTGAGCGGGATGAAGCAACCACATTTCAAATGTGGGCTCCAAGGCAATTGTTGGTGGGACAACCGGGGGCGCATCAATTTTTGTTAGGAAAATTTCTGCTTTTGCGGGTTTTTGAATGGTGGTTAAATTCACCAAAAAAAAAAAGAATATTTCTGACCATCTTAGGGAGGCCTATTATCCCCGCTATTTTGACCATAATCCGCTCCTGACTCTCACCTTAAGTGAACGAGAAAGAGATGGCGCGAGAGGAAGCATTCTCCCAAGGACTTTATGTAACAGGGGGAGCGGAAGGAAAGTCTCGCTCTTTCGCGTGTTGAATGAATGGAAAATAGTGGCACGTTTGGCTCTCCGCCAGTCACTACGCAAACAGATTACGTCGCTCGTAAACGAGAGCGTGACAGATCGTGCCGTCCACAATTTAATCCATCGCCTTTGTTGTTGTTGCCGTCATTGTTGTGCGGTAAGCAGTTACTTACTTAGTAGATAAACTGAGTTGGAGTAACGGGGAAAACAGCGCTATTTTAACCTATTGGAATTCTAGTTTGTACTGTGGTTAGGCACGGCGTCTGCATCTCGCGCCCTCGTCTATTCGCTTGCCGTTCGTATCTCCTATCTGACTGTTTTTGCGGCCTCAGATACAAATGCGAAATGTTTTGCTAAAGTCAGCTGTTTGAGATTAGCGTGCGGAGCTTTCTTGGAGCTTTTGCATTGGATGGGGCTGCGGTGGAGCGTGTGGTTCAGGGCGTATTATTTGGAATTAAATGGTGCCCGCAGAAAGTGTAACCACAATTATTGTTTAAATAGCCATAACTCGACTAATTTTATTCCAATTTCAAAGTGGCATGCCTCTATAAATTTATGATACCTAAATATCTATAGAACTGAACCGACCCTTACAACGCCAGCGATAGTGAATTATATGGTATTTCACTAGTTTGGTGGAATTCCCCAAAATTTTCTTATTTCCATGGCAGCTATATCTTAGATTCCTTAAAGAGTCGTCAGAAGACTGTAAATTTCTAATTCGATTCAGATGGTGATACTGAGATCAAGAATACATATTTATATGTACATATATACTAGATGGGGTCTGAGGTACATATCCCCCTTACTGAAATTATAATACCCTCTGCAAGGGCATCAAAAACAAAACATTTTCGTGTTTAAATATTTTGCAGGTATGTATTTTCTTTTGCAAAATACCAAAAGCACTTGCGTTAGAGCTTTATTCTGATCGCCGCCACAGCCACTCAAAACCCAAAATGCGAGGAAGCTGGTCCAGGCTCTGGCCCTTGACGTTGCTCCATTTGCTCCTGCTTTTCCACTTAGTACCCGGCACGAAGGGTTTGTTTTGGAACGGAACCGCAGTCCGCGGAACTGCTTTTTACCAGAGAAGCAGCGCCACCTGTGCGAAAAGGGTTCTGCCAGAGATTCTGCCCCTGCCGAGGTCTTGCCCGCCCGAGGTCCTCAACCTGAGGGGCACCGTGTACATCCTCTACGACGTGAACATTTCCGAGGGCTTTAACCTGCGCCGCGATGTCTACATTCGCATGGCGGTGTTCGTACGCCGCCTGCAAAGAATCAAGCGGTTTCGCAAGGTGCGCCTTGTCCTGCCGCCATGGCCACGACTGTACCACTGGCACTCGCAGGGTCTGCATCAGTCTGGCCTGCCCTGGAGCCACTTCTTTGACCTGGCCAGCCTGCGCCGCTACGCGCCCGTACTGGACTACGATGAGTTCTTGGCCGAGCAGCGACTCTTCGGCAATCCAGGAGCTCCCCTTGTACACGTTGCGCACGCCTTTCGGCTGCAGCACTACGAGGTCATGCTGGAGCAGGGCATCTTCCGGGACAAATACGAGCGGATCACGGACAAGCCTTGCAGCGAGACATCATTGTCAGGCGGACCGCTACTGCAGCAGCCCGAACTGCGCGTTAGTCGCTTTCACTGCGTCCGGTTCCAGGGAAGCGCAGGTCTGCTGGAGCAGTTGCTCCGCGTGGCAATTGCCGAGGATACGACGGGCCCGGACGACGCAGACGACATGCGCACTTATGTCTTGCTCAGTGCCGAGACCGTGCTGCATGACCACTGGGGTGACGAGCACTTCTGGCGAGCACGGCGCTCTATGCGCTTTGCCCGCCGCCTTAACCAGGTGGCTGCAGACTTTCGGCATCAGGCCCTGGCGACCACGGACGCCTCGGCTGGAGTCCAGCGGCCTGTCATGTGGGAGTTGGAGCGACCGAAGCGCAATGCCAGGGGAGGAGATTACTTGTGCGCTCACCTAAGACGGGGAGACTTCGTTCGTTCTCGGGAGAACACCACTCCTACCCTAAAGGCTGCGGCCCAGCAGGTGAAGCAGCTTCTGCGTGCCTTCAACTTGTCCACAGTGTTCCTGGCCAGCGACGCCACGCCTTACGAGCTGATGGAATTGAAGGAGCTCTTCTACCGCTTCCGCTTCGTGCACTTTGTGCCGGAGTCGAACGACCAGCGGCGGGAGCTGAAAGATGGAGGCGTGGCCGTGGTGGACCAACTGGTGTGCGCTTACGCCCGCTATTTTGTGGGCACCTATGAGAGCACCTTCACGTATAGGATCTACGAGGAGCGCGAGATCCTGGGCTTTAGCCAGGCCAGCACTTTCAACACATTCTGCAAGACACTGGGGGAAGCTGCTCCCGCAACGCAGTCTGGCCTATCGTGTGGGATGATGGCGACACCGATAGCCAGGAGGACACCGATGCCGATCCATACTGAGAGCGGTCGCCGCTTCATAAAATCAGCACCATTTTCCGTGCTGTTTATGTATATAACTTAATGCCACTCGAATACTCGTTTTAAGTTAACAGAGATTCCAAACAGCCTGCGATTGGGTACCAAAAAATAAATTAATAGCCAGTAAACCGTTCTAGTAGTTGAGTTTTAAACTTCTCAGAGTCTTTGAAAGCGTATTTGTATTGTAAATTTTAAAAAGAAAAATACAAACATTTAAATTATGCCGCTTTTGAGTTATCGCGTTGGCGATAACATATCGGTAACAAGTTTGACCCCATCACTAGGAAGCAAACATTGAACTATGAGATCTATCGATATTCAACACCAACGACTATGTTTTCAACCATAGCCGCGTTTATCTTTGAATGGCATCGATATTTGACTATAATATTTTGAACCCTCGATATAGATAATATCGTCCCACCGAAAAAAAAATGTTTCTGAAGGCGAAAAGGTGGTTTACTTTATCCAAACATTTTAATGTTGATTTGTGTTTAAGTTGTCTGCATTTGACACACTGACTGTAAGGGATATCCACCTTTTACATTAAAATTTGATCAATTGTAAATCAAAATACTTTGGTATAACACATTAAACATACTTTTTCAATGAAAGAGATCATATCTATATATTAAATCTCTATTTTCACACCAATTCAATCAGCCACAGATCAAACAAAACAAAAATGTAAAGTAACGTCAACTATCGATGGCGCTATCGATTGTTCTCCACCTCTAACACTGCACGTGTTTTTGTTAACAAATTGGTTTATATTCGTTTGGTTTTGCTTAGATTTGCAAATCTAAGAGTTGCGCTATGGGCAAAAAAAGCAAGGGCGCCGCGTCCAACCTGGGCCGCCAGCTCATTAAGGATCGCTTTGGTCACACACCGCGCCGCAAGGTGGACAACGACACGATGGTAAGGCCCTTTAAACGAATATTCGCGAAGATGTATTAACTCCTGAACTCCACCAGTTGCACACCACCGAGTTACAGGATGGCTACGATTGGGGCCGCCTGAACTTGTCCTCAGTTACCGAGGAGTCTTCGTTCCAGGCCTTCCTGCGCACTGCTGAGCTGGCCGGCACAGAGTTCCAAGCCGAAAAGCTTAACATTACGTTTGTGAACCCCAAACAGCGCGTGGGTCTGCTTAGTAAGACGCAGGAGCAGCGTATGCATCAAAAGCACGATGAGCACCGTAACCAGCTTAAAATCCCGCGACGTCCCAAATGGAACAAGGACACTAGTGCTGAGGAGCTGGAGCGGGCCGAGAACGAGGCCTTTCTCGACTGGCGCCGCGATCTGGCGCTGTTGCAGGAAGATGAGGAGATCCTGATGACGCCATATGAAAAGAACCTCGAGTTCTGGCGCCAGCTCTGGCGTGTGGTGGAGCGCTCTGACGTTGTTGTTCAAATTGTAGACGCACGCAACCCGCTTTTGTTTCGTAGTGTTGACCTGGAGCATTACGTGAAGGAGGTGGATCCAAACAAAATGAACATGATTTTGGTAAACAAATCGGACCTGCTTACTACAGAGCAGCGACGTCACTGGGCGGAGTACTTTGACAGCGAGGGCATTCGCACGGCATTTTACTCAGCCACTTTGGTGGAGGAAGAGTTGAAGCGCGAAGCAGAGGCTGGGCGCCAGGAATCATTTTCCGAGGTGCAACAGTTACGTGAGGCCGTCGAGGAGATTCACCAGTCACTGGACAAAGTAGAGGACACATTAAGTGCCATCGAGCAGAAGCTCAGAGTGGACATTGAACAGAAGGACGATAAGCTGCCGCGCCTACCGGAGGACAAGAACAGTCCTCGTCTGCTGACCCGCCTGGAGCTTATCGAGTTCCTAAGGCACATTTACAACGGTCCGCGTCACACGGATCAGCACGTTACCATAGGCATGGTTGGCTATCCTAACGTTGGCAAAAGTAGCACCATTAACTCGTTGATGACTGTCAAGAAGGTGTCCGTCTCAGCCACTCCCGGCAAAACCAAACGCTTTCAGACGCTGTTTCTGGACAAGGACATCCTGCTCTGCGACTGTCCTGGCCTGGTGATGCCCAGCTTCGTGCTGACCAAGGCGGACATGTTGCTCAATGGTATTTTACCCATCGACCAGATGCGTGATCATGTTCCCGCCGTCAACCTGCTGTGCGAGCGTATCCCGCGTCATATACTGGAGGATAAATACGGTATCGTGATAGCCAAGCCGCTGGAAGGCGAGGACATGGAACGTCCACCGCACTCCGAGGAGTTGTTGCTGGCCTATGGATGTAAGTACTTATGCTCTTTGCAAATTCAAACCTAACTCTTGTTCTTTCGTTTTGGTATGCCACAGACAATCGCGGTTTTATGACTTCCAACGGGCAACCGGATCAGGCGCGTTCCGCCAGATATGTACTCAAAGACTACGTCAATGGAAAACTGCTTTTCGCCTTGGGTCCGCCCTCGGTACCTCAGTCTGAGTATCACACATTTCCCGAACGTCAGCGCAAAGTCGTCGAGGAATCGCAACTACCCAGCCAGCAGCAACGAGCAATGCGGGTAAAGCTCACATTTGGGGCTCGACTTGATCCTTTCCCTAATTGATCTTCTCACTCGCAGATTGACAAGAGCACCTCCAAAGAGCTGGATAAGCAGTTTTTTTCCGACAAGCCCACCCACGCCCACGTAAAGGGACGCACAAATTTCCCAAACGTACGCTTAGCTAACGACGGCTCACTGGTTGCCGCAAATGATCCATCAGCCAAACCTTGGCGTCACGTGAAGAAGGAAAGGCGCGAGAAGCTGCGCAAGAAGTTCTCGCACCTAGATGAGCACTGATTGTAGTGTTTTAGTCATTTATGTCCAAGGGCGTATCTAAAAGGTTCTTGTAATATATTAGCATAGATTTAGTTAGCTATTAAAGTTCCCTGAACCTAAAGAACTCAGGGACCTATTATCCCAGACTAAAAAAAGAAAATGGGCAGCCAGTAAATACTGTAGATGAGAATTATGCGAGTAAAATACGCCGGCAGAATAATTGGAAGAGAATAGTTAGAATTTATTCTTATTATAACGTAGGAACAAGATTAAGTTGGCTGTGCTAAAAGCATCATATCCTTTGGACACTTGTCCGTTTTGAAACCGAGCACATATTCATGATCAGCAAAAGGCACAATGGAACGCTACAAGTCTAGTAAGTTTGGGAGCGAGGCTTCACTTGCAACACTCCTATCAGAAGAAATAGAAAATTCAGACACTCCGAGCAGCAGCAACTCTAATAGCACGTTAACTGAGTTCTCGACCCAGAGCTCGGCCCTCGAGTTAAAGGAAAAGCCTGAAGCCAGAACGAAGTCCAGGACCAGAAAAAAGTGTGACGGTAAGAAGTGCAAGGACGGGAAGGTTGCCGAGGAGAAGCAGAACCTTAAGTCTGAGAAAAATCAAAAGTTCGAAGACAGGAAAACTGAGAAAAAGCGGAACACCCAAACTAAGAAGCCGGATATCTGGAAACCCAAGTTCAAAAGGCCTATTTACTTTAAGCGCGTGTTCCTGAAACCTGGCAAGCGAGAGAGTAAAAGAATAAGGAAGGCCAGGAAAGCCAATAAGAAGCCGAAAATCGAATTTCCTGGCCAAAAGCCCAATGAGCAGCCGAAGAGGAGCCAATGGTGGTACGATGAGACTACAAAGCAGGAGATGGCTGAGCTTAGATGGAAGATGTTTACAGACGAGGAGTACGCAGATTGGAAAACTTTTAGAAAGCGCAACTTTAAAGTACCGCTCCGTTCAGTGTTTTCCTACTTAGATGTTAAGCCCTGCCCCGTGACAATAAGCACTAATCAGACAAAGATGCCCGTTCTGCGGGTGCTGTCCACAATGATTGAGGGCAACTATGGCGCTTTCGCGCACATTCAAATCGGAGATAAGACTTTTCGTTGCATCCCCAATCTGCTGAAGTGCTACTCAGTGTGGTTTGCGAACCGCGACTGGCGGATAAACCACTTTAGGTTCCCCGAGCGGGAGGTTCCTGCCCGCGGCTTCGAGGTACTCTACCGTTGGATGCGCACCGAGCAGTTGCCGGATTTTAATACATCCGTGTCCACACTGCAAGTCTCGCGCCACCTGCAGGTCCACATGCTGGAGAAGGTGTGCTGGGAGATTCTGTCCGACAGTTCGGTGCGTGAGAAGGTAGCCTTTCAGGTCTACCTGGAGGCCAAGCGGCTGCCGGCGCTCCAACTGGTGTGCGAGGTAATGCTCAACCGACTGCGGTACAGCTTTCTGGCGCTGGTGGGCAGCAGTGAGTTCCTGGACCTACCCGTGGAAGTGATGGAGCTGATACTGCGGCGGGACTCCATCGGGGTTAACTCGGAAATGGAGGTGTTCTTTGCAGCGCTGCGCTGGCTGGGTCACAAAAACGTATCAAAGCGACTGAAATACTTGCGCCGTCTGATGGCCTGCGTCCGCTTCCACCACCTGCCCATGACCTTCCTCTTTAGCCTACGCGAGTCCATTACTCGACCGGACAAAGAAGAGCTTTTTCGCCCAGATCCAGTGCTGAAGGCCTTCCACGCGGACCCAGAGACGATGACCAAGCTGGAGCACGCCATGTCCTTCATCGGCGTGCGTTGCCAGTATGACGACACTGAAGAGTTCCTTTCCGTCTGCGAGGCCCACGGCATCAGCGTGGTTTTCCCGCGCCACTGGGTCTACCACGCCAAGTGTCCGTACCACAAGAAGAACCTCACCTTTCCCTACCAGCACCGCTTCACAGCCACGGACTTCGACAACTACATAGACAGCATCCAAAAGATCTGGGCCGGCAAGGGGCCGGCAGACCATGGTCAGTCCCTAATCACTGAGATTGATTACGACCCACTCCTTCGCAAGAAGATGGAGTGGGGGCCAAAGAATTAATACCCTGTTCAAATATTGAACACCTTATCCTTCTGTTAGCGAGATATTTCTTTTTCATATTTTTACCCTGGCGTATAACCATATATATTCGGTCAATAAATTTAAATCAACGCGGTACCTAGTGCATATGAGGTTTTATTGGTTATCGAAACCGATAACTGCTTTTAGCGGGGTGTCATCTCGAACTGGACATCACAGCTGTTTGCCGGCGCGTGTTTCAGTTGTTTTTCTGACGGGAATCCGATCGTGGATTTTGTGATTTCGCTTTAAGTTGGATGCAATAGGGTAAAATGCAGCGAACTCGACTGTTGCAGAGAGTGTGGCTGTGCCGGCAACGCTTTGCCCAGCTGTCAGGACGTGGTGAATCCTCCACCGGCCTTGAATTGCGTTATGCAATGACGATACCGACTCCTCCACTGCAGCCGCAAAGGCGGCTCCTTGGCACTGGCTTCGTCCTCCGTGCGATGGACAGGAAACACCGCCGCCCCGCCTCTTCTGAGAAACCGCCAGTCAGCATCGAGGATATGTGGTCGCAACTGGAGTCTTACTACCAGCAAAACAGCCTTCTCAACTACGAGCACTGCCAGCGCGTGCTGGAGCAATTGCAGCGATCGTCGACGCCCCAAGGAATAGGCGTGGATCAGCTGCATTTCCTTCTGGAATCGTGTGTGCCCGAACTGCTACCCGCCCAGAGCGCGCAGGAGCGGCTACAGCTCTTTCAGTCCCTCTGGGGGCAGCTCCTTAAACTAAGTCAGCCGACACTAGTTCACTACCACACCAGACTGCAAGTACTGCGTCAGAACCGCCTTCCTCTGCTGGACCATCGCTCCCTCCTGGCCGAGATTGCCGTCTACCACGGAGCTGCCGATGCGGCTTTGTACAGCGCTCTTCTAGATGTGGCCGGATCAGCGGGAAATATGCGCCTTGTCACCGAGCTGCTCGCCGAGATGCGCGAGCGCAACTTTGCTCTTACGGACCGCAACTTCGACGCTCTGCTATTGAGTCACGCCCGCAACGGTGACCTACCTGGAGCAGAGTCCGTCCTGGCCAGCATGCGGGCCGCTGGAATTCAGCCCGGCAGCAGCTCGCAGGCCCTTTGGTTTGAGGCCCTTGTGGAGAACGGCAGGGTTGCCCAGGCCAAGAAGCTGCTGGACACGGAGGAGGGATTCACTGCTCCTCAATTGCTCCAGATGTTGCGTACAGTGCTCTCCAGCAAAGATGTGGACATCGAGCTTGCCCAGACGTTGGTTAAGAAACTGCCACGGGAGTTTCTAACTGGTCTTGACCTGCCGCCAGCGATCAAGAGTCTGTGCATCCAGTTAGTGCACGAGGGACGCGCCCAAGTGGTCATTCAGCTAGTGGCTGCGTTGCCCGCTCCAAAGTTCGAAACTCAGAACCAAAATGTGGATGAATACGGCACACTGCTTCTGCAGGAGTTTTTCCGCGCCCACGTCCCATTAGAGCAAACGCTTCAGTTCGCTGGGGAATTGGTTGAGCGTAACCAGAATTCCCGCGCGTTACATTTGGTAGTTGAGCTGGCTCTGCGACGCCTGCCCTCATCCGCACTCTACTGTCTGGAGGCGCTGTCCGCAGCCGGCGAAGAGTTGCGGCCGCACTACTTTTGGCCCCTGATCCTGCACCACCACCGACGAGAGGGAGAGAGAGGCATGCTTCGTCTTCTGGCCGATATGCAGCGGCTTCGGGTGGAGTGCGACGAGGATACCTTGCGCCAGTATCTCCTCCCTAACCTAAGCCAAAGCCTGACGAAACCCCTTGAGGCCTTAAAATCACTGGAATCGGCTGGTGTTAAGCCTTCGCTGACTCTAGGCCCGGTAGTTAGTCGGCTGCTACAGCAAACCCAGCAAGTGCCCGAAGCTCTGGACCTGCTCAAGCGGTATCCGACGCGGCTGGACCTCTCTAACTTGATCCAGCCTCTGACATCGCTGGCGGTAAATGCCCGTGCCACCAAGCGCTACGAGCTCTTCGCGCAGGTAGTTCAGGCTCTGCAACAGAAGACACTGCAGCGTGGGGAGGACTTTGTAGGCTCCTTGCTTCTGCAAATGACCGGACCACAGACGCGCCTACGCCAGGATCCCGCTTCTCTGCGGCGATTCCTGCACGAGCTCAGTCGCCTGGAGTTACAAATGTCGTTTGCGGCAGCCGAAACTTTGCTCTCCCTGGCCCGGCAGACAACAGAGGACGACCAGTTAGTTAAGGATATAGCCAGTACGCTGCAAAAAATGCGCAACTCGAAGCTGTCCCTGTCTGCGGATACGGCCACGCTTCACGGGGGATTTATTAAGCACCCGCGCGACATGAGTCTCGACGAACTGGAGTGCCATCTTGTGGAACTGGAGTCCAAGCATCTAAATCCACGCGGTGTTCTTCGCCGCTTGCTGCAGCTTTCTGTACGCAGCGGTCGTTTGAAGCGAGCTCAGGAACTGTTGGCTAAGTGTCAGGCTCTGAAGGTCCAAACGAGTGCAGGAATGATGGCCTCCATCCTCGACCTATACATTAAACTACGCGATCTGCCGCGTGCCCAGGAAAGCTTGGAGCGACTGAATAGCACTTACCCAGGTAGTTAAGTGGTTTATGTTAAGCTTTCGACGCAGGGAACAAATTATTCTGATATGCGTATCGTTTTTCAGACTTTCAGCTTGACGAGCACAAGGTAATTGACTACGCCGCTCTTTTAGTGCACGGGCAGCAACTGGATACCGCCAAACAGATGCTCAAACGTCGAGCAGAGCAACACAAGATCGTTGGCGGCGACTATGTAATCAAAAACGTGTGGCAGCTTCTTACTAACGTGGCACAATTGGCCGCCTCACAACCCCCGACTAGTCCTACCAGCGAGGGCATTGAGAGCGCTAAGCATAGGAATCTGACCCACGAGACTCTGGACTTCCTTCGCGGACTAGGCTACTGTCAGTCGCACAACGCCCTGCTGGGTCCAGTGGTTCGCGAGTGGCTGCTGAGGGGTGACTTGGATGCGGCGGTGGCCGAGTTCCAAAGCCTGGCCAACAAACACAAGCACACGCCCCTGCAGTTCGAACTCCTGTCGCTATTGGTGCGCCTTGGCAATGGGGATGAACAGGAGCTGGCCCGCTTTCCCGGTACCACCGTCGAGTCTGCCCAGCAGCACCTGGCTGCCGTTACCGCGACGGTTAGTCGCGTTCACGGAGCGGCCAACATGAACAGCGCCTTGCTGCTGGCTCTAGCCGAGTCCGGCAAAGAAACACAGCTGCGTCGCCTCATCATCAACCCTGAGTTTTGCATTAACCACGAGCTGCTGCTGAAGAACTGCGAGCACTTGGGGCAGGAGGGCGCGGTGCGGACGCTTCTGCGGCTGGCGCGCGGAGTAAGGGGCGTGCAGCGGACTATCGACGAGCAGAAGATTTACGACATGCTGCTGGCCCAGTTCTGCCGGAGCAATAACTATGAGGCTGCGCTGGATCTCTTTGAACGTCTGGAGTCCGACGACGAGCTAAAGGTGTCACATGAGTTTCTGCGCAACCTCGTCCAATTGCTGCAGGTGAATAATGTTAAGATTCCCAGCGGGATCGCCCTACGCGCCCAAATTAGATAGCCATACTCAAGAATTGCTCTATTAGTAACTAACTAGTTAGTGACTTGCATTGACGTGCAACTTATTTTGTAAATAAATTATTTTCACAGATTCCTATATTTCCAATGTTTCAATATTTTTGCTTTATTGTGAAGACTTTAAATCTTTTAATCCAGTCATTTTATGTATGTATATACATACATACATATACATATAATGTACATATATATTTATTCACAAAGCAGTGTATTAAAAAGTAAAATCATACATTTAAATTTAAATTAAACACACAAAAATGTGGGCTTTTAAAAAATGTGTAAAAAAGAATAATCCTGAAGATTGACAGTTTTGTCAATTAATCAATTTAATTGACATTAATCAATTGAAGTTAGTTTTCAGAATAAAATTAATCATACTAAGGCTTTTTATGCCACGTGTAAACAGTTATCGGTCTGGCAACTCTAAATCCGGATTGACAGTTACTTTTCTGCGCAGCTTGTAACACTCCGTGTTTGGGAATTGTTTTTTATTTATGTAGTTTAAGTTTGCTGAACGTACAATATGCATTCTTAGCATACGGAACACTTGGTAATGCAGAGATCCGGAGATCGCATCCTCCGGTTTTTTCGGCAGGTTTTAAAAAAGCCCTGACGCGCTCCCCCGAACGGCTGGACAAGATCACGCTGCTGCAGGTGAATTTCTCCTGCCTTTGTAGACTTACTTACTGCTATTTAAAAACTTTGATGCGCTAGCCCAACTGTCGAGGAGATCCTCGCGTCATTTACCTGATGCCCCAGATTTCGGCAAACGCAAGCGAAATCCGCGTGGCCCTAATGCAACGAGTTTTTGGATAAACGCTCACGCTGAAGCAATCCCTGGGGAACTAGAATCAAAATTTGGTTCGTGATACTTTCGCATTCTGCCGGAGGACTGAACCTGTTTTCGTACAAACTGATTTCTCCGGCTTTTCAGCGACCAGGAACCGCCTTCATGGTGCCTTGGTTGCCATGGGCAAAGAGGCGGGCCGCGGGCAGAAAAAAGTTTCCAGGCAAGTAACTGATTAGTTTCTGTAAAACCCAAAGTGGGCCGTGTGCTTCGAAATGACTTTCGGCGTTACGTCAGAATTTTACTGTCATCCGGAATCGGAGAGTAAACAGAAAGTTTTAAAGCACGTAGCACACACTTACTTCTCTAGCAGCTGCTCCGATTGACACTGCGGATCTAAATTTTAGTTATAATTTTAACAACGTTCAATCTGCCCATGTTCCGAACGATTCTTCGTCCAAGCATGAAGCGGTTGTCCCGGCGGCCAGTTTCCGACGAGCAGAAGGCTCAGGCGCAGGCGCAAGCTCAAATACGGACACAACACCAAAATCAAAACCAAGACCAAGACGCGGTAGAAATATATCTGTCAGTGGCCACCATCTCGTCGCTGACACAATCACAGCTGCAAGCACAACCACATTTACGGCCAGACTCTCCGCCGCAAGATCAGCAGGCGGACAGCGAGCAAAACAAGGAGGAGGCGCCAGGGGCAATCGAAACTGGTGCCCAAGGCGACAACGAACAGTCGGACAATGAGGTGGGGCCCGCTTCCTCAACGACACCCATCGATGCCAGCAGGGGCCAGCCCGATGGTGGTAATCCTGCACAGCTAAAGGCGCTGGCCGGTCGCCAACAGATCGCCAGGCTACTCACCCGTTTCGGCGACTGCGCAGAGGGCGTTGGTGAGGCCAATCAGATCATAATGGAGCTGCTCGGCAGCAGCGACGGTGCCTCAGTGCCTTTGCCACCGCCCTCGGCCATAGAGCGCGTTTCCGAGCAGCTGCTGCGAGTTCTACGGGAGCAGACTCTGATTGATGCGGGTATCGTCACCGGCAACGAGCGGTATCGTTGTTTCAAGTCCGTGCTTCAGAACTACGCGAAGATCTATGCGGCTCGCCGCTTCATGGAGCAAATGCCGCAACTGGGTCAGCTTGGCCGCGATGCAGACGTAGAGCAGGAGCTGTTCGCTCGCGTTGTAGCCGAAGAATTGCTTCAGATACCGGAGCTGCTGCGCCAGCTCTGGGTGTCGCTGGAGAAAATGGAATTCTTCAACGAGGACACCGCCTTTAAGGCGTACTTGGAAGCTCGGCGCCATCCACATGCCCGCATTCTTTGCGAGCTCATGCTTACCCGCATATCTCGCGTTTTTCTGTGCATTGTCTGCTCCACATTCTTTCTGGAGTTTACCGAACACGAGCTTAGGCACATCCTTCGAAACTGTTACCTTAGTGTCAACTCGGAGATAGAGGTAATATAACTAAACCCTTAAGACCCTGCGCCTAGTAACGTTATAACACTTTTCAGATATTTTTGTCTGTGGTGCTCTGGCTAGAGCACAACTGGTTCGAGCGAGGCAACTGCGCCGAACGCATCCTGTCCGAGGTGCGCTTTGCCCTGATGCCCACCTGGTACCTGTGCACCTTGGAGAGGGCCAACTGCTGCCGGCACTTTGCCCGGGTGATTCACACCCCAGGAGTTCAGCGCATGATTGAGCAGGGCCGTGAGTGAGTTGTTTTTCGGGCGGATTGTTTTATAGTTTTACTAAACGCTATCAACATTTTTCTTTTGATCCAGGGAGGCCGTGACCCTGAAGAGAAAACCACGCCCATGCAGCGTCGCTGGAGGACCAACTACTGGCCAACAGCGACAGCTAGATCAGCCCCAGAAGGAGGCACGCTTGGCACGTGACTGGATTGCAGACACTGAGTGCCGCTACCACCATAAACGCCACTGCGAGCGCTTCGTTTACCCCACCTACGACGCGTTCAAGGAGTATCTGTCCCGGATCATCTGCTGCGCACCCAATTACTGGCGCACATTTCGGCCCGCAAAGGAGGTTTACCGCAGCGACTTCCGATGTTGCCTGCTTCCACACTTTAACTAGGTCCTGCCCCTTTTTCAGTCGCTGTTACTGTTCCGCCATCTTCCCGCTATGCGGGTTAACTTTTTATGTGCGAGGATCTACTTCGGAGCGTGCGCGAGTCTGTCCGTTACCGTGCCCCATGTTGACTGTCCTTTTAACACCCCGAATTCTAATTCCCCGGCAAGGCCAAAGGCTACAAATGTCTCGGTGGCCTAGCCGAAAATATAAGCATTTCTTACAATTTAATTTTGAAACGTTTGTCAGTAGCAATTTAGAATTTAATGTCCCTCAAAAAACTGTTTGTTGTCACGCCAACAGCAACTATAAGGGAATTTATTTATTACTTGTACGTAGCGTGCCAATTTCGCACAAAAATTTGGCTGGTTTTAAGACGCCAAATAAAAGGTAAATAGACATTCTTAATTGGTGGGGTTGCCCAACCCGATAGTCCAGCAGCGCTCAAATGTAGGCAACATTTCTCAAAGTTTCTCGACTGCCAAACCAGGCCAACAGAACCGCTTAGTAGGTGTAAATCGATCAGCTGATCAGCTTAAAATTGGCTTGTTCAGTGTTGAGCGCGTGACAAATTATTCTTGTCACGCCAACAACAACCACATGGAAATTAATTAATTACTTGTGCGCGGCGTGCTATTTCGTGACACACACAAAGAATCAGCGTGGTTTCGCATCTCTGATCTGATGTTTACTTTGAAACAACGGTTCTTTCGAGTGATGCGGCGTTCTGATTGGTGGAAACAGTGAGGGGAAGTGTGCCAAGGACAGTTAACTTAAAAAAGAACCGTTGCTTAAGTAAATTCAGTTTTACCAGCTGCAACCTGCTATTGATTATGTTGGCCTGGTGTCAGAAATCGAATTTCATATTGAAATTGGCTGGTTTCAAGATCCCAAACACCAGGCAAACAGAAAGGCTTAGTAGGTGGATGCTCAGCAACAGCCTTTATGTAAAAGGCAGGGGCGGACGCAAAAAAAAAATTTGGGGGGATCCGACCGAACAATTTTTTAGTTCGGCGGGGGAGTGCAATCAAAAATGTATTTAGCATATATGGTTGAAAGACCGTGTGCTGCAAGAAGTTTTGAATAAGTTTGAGATTTCGGGGGAGTCCGGACATCCTGGCTCAACTCCTTGCGTCCGCCCCTGATAAAAAGAATAACATTTTCTGCAAGCAAATTGTGACGAACTAAATTGAAACACCAGGCAAACATAACCGATTAGAAAGTGGAAAACGATCAGCTGATTGACGCTTGTTGCTACTTTCAAGTAACGGTTCTTGCCAGTGAGATGGCTTTTTGATTGGTTGGGACAGGGAGGGGAAGCGTAACAAGGACAGCTATCTTATGAAAAGAACAGTTATTTGAATAAGATCAGATTTACCATCTGCAACCTGCTATGAGTTATGTTGGCCTGGTGTCTCAAATCGATTTGGGAAGCAAAATCGGCTGTGTTTGCGAGACCAAACACCAGGAAAACAGAAATTCGAAGTAGGTGAATGCGCTGCAGCGCTAATTTGTATAAAACAACAACAATTTCCGCTAGAAAATTGTGACGAACTAAATTGAAACACCAGGCAAACATAACCGATTAGAAAGTGGAAAACGATCAGCTGATCGACGCTTGATGCTACTTTTAAGTAACGGTTCTTTCCAGCGAGATGACTTCTGATTGGTGGAACACGGTGGGGGGAAGTGTGCCAAGGACGGCTATCTTAAGAAAAGGACAGCTACTTGAGTAATCTTAAATTTAACAGCTGCATCCTGCTATGGATTATGTTGGCCTGGTGTCAGAAATCGATTTTGATAGTCAAATTAGCTGGTTTCAAGATCCCTAATACCAGGCAAAATAAATTTAGTTGGCAGCACGATGGGACGAATCAGCTGTGCCAAAACTGCTCATTAATTAAAAGAAAGATAAGGGTTTTTCTTTATTGAGACAACATCTTTTATGAACGGTGCATGGTGCTACTCCTTGTTGGACTCGCTCATGTGAAACTGAATGAGGATAATTAGATACGTGGTGGTGGCACCCACAATCTGAAATAGAGGAGCACGGTTTCATTAATATTTTCTCTGGGTTTCCAACTCACCGTATAAAGAAGCGTGCAATCAACGGTAAAAAAGCCAGCGGCACTGAAGTGAAGCCGCTGGTGCAACAGCTGCAGCGAAAACTGGGTAATCTAGGTGAGAGCGGCGGTTACCAATGGTGAAATGTTTAGTGCAAGGTAATACCTACTAGGGCGTTGTGGGACTCATTTCTCAGATCCACGCTCACTTGGTGAAGGCACAGGGCCAGGCGGTTGGCCTGAAGGGCAGAAAATAACATGGTTACAAGTCTGGTACCGGACCAAATCCTATGGCTTACTCACACACTGAGCTGCTCGATCGCAGAGCAGAGACAGGACGAGCACGTTGCCCAAATGGGGTGCTGACCACACGGCGCTGGCCACCAGTTGCAGGATGTCGTAAGGCGTGGTCGCCGTCTGGCGAAAGTTGAGGAACATCCAGTAGCAGTTGGAGGTGATGGCCAGAAAGTCATTGCCCACCAGGATCAGCATGGACAGTCCGTAGCCGCGATTCATCAGGGTCACCAGGGCCCACACCCGCTGGTAGACGAGTCTCACGGCAACCAACCGATCAACGGTCGCCTGCACCAGTTCGGCCAGTTCCCCGGGAGCTGGCTCCAGTGCTTGGCTCTTTGGCTGCAGTTGGAGCTGCTGCAGGGCGACGAGAAGCTCGTCCAGCCGCTGACGGACGATGTGGACGGCGGTGAAGATCTGAAAGTAGCGCAGGCCGCATACAAGTAGCGGCAACAGGTACCAGAGCCAGTAGAACGGAAAGCGGTGGCCCGGGGCGAGCAGCTTGGTTCCCAAGATGAAACCCTGACTGAACGCATAGCCCCACAGCATCCACACGGCCCAACGCGTCATCTGCCGCCCCATCTGAAGGCGACCAGCATCCTCGTTCACCCGCATCGCCTTGGACAGTTCGTCAGTTCCGCCCAGCTCCATGTAGAACTCTCGATGCACTTGTCTCTGCCAGAGCGCCTCCAGCAGAGCAGCCATGTGAGCCACTCGCATGCCCACCAGCTGGATGAAGTCCACAGTTTGACCAATGCTGGAGATTGGGGACTCAGCGTCCTGCTCGCCCCTGTTGCTCTCCAGGATGAGGTCGTAGACGGTGAAGCCGCTGGCAGCTGTCAGAATGCTCCAGCCGTACAGCTCCAGCATACGGGATTTGCGAAATAGGATGCCCTCGGTATCCGGCAGGGAGGTCAGTCGCCAGGGCCACAGGCCGCACACTTGGCAGATGCGGTGCAGCGGCTCCAGAGCTCTAAGCATGTCCATGCCCAACTTAAATAAATATAAATAAAAACTTAACAAAAGCAAAATAAACACAACTTTGGCATAATATTAATGGAAACCCTTAAGGGATATGACTTACTAGTGTTTCTTGAAAGATAGTCTGATCTACAAAAGCCACCACTTTCGACTGTTTCCTGGCTGACAGGGTTTGATTGCCAGCGGCGCTAAGTGGCCATCCATCATGGTCACTCAAGGCCACAAGTTCCTTGAAAGATAATCAATCAAGCAGTCCAAGGGGAGTCCCTTGAAAATGTAACTGAAGCCAGAAACTGAAGCCGGAAAAACTGGAAACCCGAAAACAAAACACACTCGGCCTTCACATAAATACGTTTATTATAATTTCAGATTTTGTTTTGGAAATAGTTCTTGAGATAAGCTTGACGTTTCATAAAATGTAATACATATATATTTCTTCGCGCTAACCTCTGCCCATATTATCGGATCGTTTTTGTGCTGGCTCGCTCTTTCCCCGTCTTGCCCGGCTTCTTCTTCTTCCGATTATGTACTCTCTCCTCTATTGGCCAATTAGCCAAGTAGCTACCTACTCAGTTAGCCAGTTAGCGATACTTCGGCTCGGCTTTTGTTTGTAACAACTTTACTTTCTGCATGCACTTGCTGTACTAATGATTATATAGAGCACACACGGGCCCACACACATCATACACACACGACCAATCAATCAAAGAGTGTGTTTGTGTGTGTGTGCGGGGGCGTGTGCATTTAGTATGTATATTTGATTTAAATCGAAGCTGCTAAAAAGTGAAAGCAAATTCAACAAACAAACTCTCATAGGTCGTACATATCGTATTTGATTCTTATCCTAATATAAGGTATGATGCAGATATCTGTTTGTTCTCTGGATATAAGGCAATGGATACATGTGCGTGTGGCGTGTGGTGTGTGGTGTGTGGTGTGTGTGTAAAGTGTGTGATCTGATTGATCTGATTCCGAACGAAACTTAACTGGCAAACAAACTGGGAAAAAGTTAACAAGTTTTTATATCTTCGTATCGTACGGAGAAATTCGTTTCGTGAAAGGCAAAAAATGTCTTCTGGCTGGGAGAAGAGTTCTTTTTTTTTTAGTTTTTCGATTTAAGCAACATCAATACGCTCAAGTACATATATATAAATATATATATTTAGGTATATATATATATATAAGTATATATACGTATATTGTATATAGTTCATGTGTGAGTATTCTTTATCTTTACCTTCATAGGTTTAGTTCATGTTTTGTTTCGCTTAGCGCACGAATTTCGAAAATTATGAATATTTAATAAACTTTATCTCTTTGTTTTCGGTTTTCGGTTTTTGTTTTTGTTCGGTTATAAATTTAAAATCTTCGAAGCGGAGACTGCAATGCTGCTACTCAATAATCGAAAGACGCTCGACTGGTGTTTAAATACCCAATCGGATGTGCTTGTCGGACGGGGAACTTCAATGAAGATTGCATTCGGACCGGACCGTAAGGGCTTGAGAGTCCCGCCGATGGACCACGCCCCCCTAAATCAGATCCCCGCCCCTCTTAGCCCTACGTGTGTATAATTTTGCTTAAATTTCGCTGGTTGCTATCAAACGGTTGTAGACTGGACGGTTGCCAGTTGACTGTTGTCTGTTGTCTGCTGTCTGCTGTTGCGCATTGCATGTTGCATGTTGCATGTTGCATGAGGCAAGCAACACGTGACAAGCTGCCAGTCGCCTGCTGCAGCTCCTCCCGGATCTGTTGTTGTTTTGTTTTTGTATATAAAAAGCAACTCAAAAATATACGCGTAGCCTAAAAAGTCTGTCTCGACCGACCGACCACTCGAGTCTATAATTTATAATTGTAACTGGCTCTTTTGGACTGTTTTGCTGTTTTGCGGTTTTGCCTCAAATTGCTTGTTCCGTTTTGGTTACGTTACTGGTTACGTTACAGGTTACGTTACTGGTTACGTTGATTAAAATTGCCTGTGTGCCTGCCTGCCTGCCCGCCTGCTCATCTTCATCCTGCTGCTCCGGCTGCATATTTAACTTGTTTGTTTGCAAATTTGTTATTCTATGACTATGAAAAAGTAAAAAAAATATAGAAAAATAACCTTCGTTCACTTTGTGTACTTCATATTTTATCGTACTTAGTTATGACTCTCTGCTCATCCTTGTTATTTTTTGTTTTCTCACAATAGCTGTTCCACTCTGTCTCTAACCACTCCACTTCGTTTCCATTCCGACTTGACCCAACCCAACCCAAAACCCACCCAACCCCATCACAAGCAGTGCTAGTCCCATCCCTGTCCCATCACTGTCGCCCCATATACCATGCTAACCCCTTCAGACCCTTGGAATCCTTATATAGTAACATCATCATTTCTACTCCTGCCTTTCTAATCCTTATCGATTCGCCAGCAACAACGTCCTGTTTCTTATTTCCTCTGCCCAAATCGCCTATTCTGTTCTCAGGTTCAGTGTTATTTTTTTGATCAGTTTTAGTTCCCTCGTCTTGTTCATATGTGGCTCCCTATGCGGAAGTGGAAGTGTACGTATATCGGTTGCTATACCTTCTGGGGTTATAAGCCTTTCGGCGGCTGCCTGCGGGAACAAAAAGAAAACCAATCGCAGTCTAACAAAACGAATAAAATCTGTGAGGATGGCTACGAAAACGATGCAATTTGAAAACATCTCGGAGGAGGCACATTTTTAAGTTTAACGGATCCGAATCTCGGATATTGGGTTAATCGCGGTAAATCAAAGTTTTAATCGCGCGCTAGTCTTCAACGTTTGATTAAGTTTAGTTCAAAGGGCGCGTTGTATTATGATCGCTTACTATTCTAAGCGCCCTGACTTCGCGGGTTATGCATTTGCAGTTGGTTAATGCTCGCCTTAATATCCGAATACCTCTGGCATGGGGAGTCCATGCGAAGAAGGCTCGCAAATGTTTTGCCTAATACGTAAACATGAGTATTAATTTCTTTATATATATAGTGTGTGTGTGTGTGTGTCTTTTCTTTTTTTCGTACTCGTATGCTTCTATTTTTTCTACGCTCTCTTAATGTCTTTTCGTTTTCGTTTTTGTTTTTGTTTTTCCTTGTATATTTTAGCTATGCGGTTTTGAAAACTATTTAAATCTTTGGATTACTAGGCAAGGTAGCTGCTGTACGTTATCCAATGAAAGCAACAAATATAATTCTTTTACTTGACTAATCCTTTGAGTATCCGTTAGATCGGTTGCACTGCACTGTGTTTTTGGTAATTAATCTCGTTTAACTAATATCAATTAATTACTTAGCTTTGGGTTGGCAGAAATAAGTCGGCGAAAGCTCAATAGACAGCATTGGCAAACAAAATGGCGTCATTCACGTGACCCGTACTCCGCCATATCAGCCTTCGCCCGCCCTCATTTCCGTTTCCTGCGGCTCCTGCGCACGAAACTCGCCATATTGCATTTAACTCATTCTAGTCCTCGTCCTTTTTTTTGTCCTCCTCCTGTTCTTCGGTTGCTGTTGCTGAGATCTTTCTGTTGTTTGGTTTTGCTTTTAGTCTAAGTCCTGGTGGTCGTCCTGCCAGAGTCCAAGTCCAAGCCAACTTTGTAAGCCACACATGGACTCGATCCCCTGACAGTGCTCTCCTCGCCTGCTTCTCCTGCTCCTCCTGCTTCTCCGGTTGGGTGCGTTCTGGGTTGGCTTAGTCATCGTCGAATGCAACAAACAAGCCCGTGGCCTAGAACTCCAAACGGTAGGCGGAGCACGAGGTTTCGTGGTCCTGCAGGTTGATGGTGCAGCGGGAGGCGGAGGGCGAGAGGTCGATGCGGTGCTTGGCTAGAAGCTCCTCGTTTTCGGCAACCCAATAGCCCAGCACGTCGGTGTCGTACGTGGGTATGATGGTCACCTCTGCATGGGGGAAAGCCAGATCCATTATTTAGTAAGCTTGGTAAGATTGGAAAGAAATCAAATCACGCCACTACTCACCCAACTCCTTGTCCTCCCATGTCTGTTTGGCCTCCAGCAGCGCATCGTACACCTGCCGACTGGGCTCCGTGCCGGAGAAGACGTAGTAGCGGGCTCGCACCCGCTTGAAGAACTCCACGTGGGCGTAGTAGGAGTTGCCATTGTGCGGCACGTACGTCAGGTCCACGTAGACGGGCGCCGGCTTCTTGGCCGCCTTGTTGGGCGACTCGCTGCGCTTGCGCAGGTTCTTTTCGTTGTTCAGTCGCGTCTTGGTGGCCACCAAGCGGCGCTCCTTCTTGGGCGTGGTGCGGATGTCAGCGCCGCCCTCCACCGGCAGTGGAGCTGGCGACGGCAGGCCGAGTGGCTTGCCCCACTCCTCCAGCCGGTCCTTGGGCAGAGCTCCTCCAGTGGAACTCGTTGTGGTTGCGGTTGTGGTTGTGGTTGTGCCACTCGCCGCTGCCCCAGCGGTGGTGGTGGTGACGGCGGCAGCTTCCTCCGGTTTATCTGGCTTGTCATGCTTATGCTCCTCGGCGGTGGCGACGCTGCCCACGGTGGCGAAGCCACTCTCCGTCACACGCGACCGCTGGACATCGCTCAGCGGGAAGCGCTGTCGCTCCGCAGTGCTGCTCACGATCTGCTCCATCTCCTCGGCCTTGGAGGGCGAGTACGAGTACTTGGCGGTGACGGAAGACATGACCTCGGCGCCGCGCGCCTGCACGTGCTCCTCGAGCGCTCGCTGGAAGTCCTTGTCCGCCTGGTCTAGGAACTTGTGCCCGGCCCAGGTCTGGCTGCTGCTCTCCACGCTCTCCGACGACTGGCTGTCGCCCTGAGCGGACGGGGCGCCCTGGATCGGGATGGGCTCCGTTTGGCTGGGCGGCTTTAGCGCGGCGGCGGCGGCAGTGGCCTCGAAGCTATCGGGCAGGGCGCCGTAAAAGGAGGTGGCCATCGGGTCGGCTGTGCGCGGCAGAAGGATCGAGCGGGCCGTCGAGTGCTCCTCGCTGCCGTACTGCGGCGGAATGTCGTCCTGGCTCTCGTCGCCGTCGGCGTCGAGGTCGGAGCGCTTGCTCATCCCGGAGCTGGAGTGCTGCAGCTCGTAGCTGGTGGCGCTGCGCGGCGACCCAAGCAGCAGGTCGTCGTCGTCCTCGCTGCCCGGGGTGCTGGCGCGGTACATGCCGCGCAGCAGGGCGACCTCCTTGGGCAGCAGCTGGTCGCGCTCGCTCTCGCTGGTGGTGCGTGTGGTGGTCACCACCACCTTCTCGCTGTCCGGCTCCGAGCTGTCCGTGGTGGTCACCGTCTTCTGCTCGGTCACTATCTCCTTGCCGTCCGCGGAGATCACCTTGGTCACCGTGGTGATTGTGGTGGTGATTATCTTCTCTGTGCTGCCGCTGAGGGCGGTGCTGCTCTCCAGTCCGCGCAGCTCGTGCAGCTCGGGAAGATCAGCCTCAGCCTCAGCCTCAGACTCGGCCGCAGCTGCGGCCCCGGCTGCGGCAACTGCTGCTGCTCCAGCCAGAATCTGCTCCTGTTCGTGGTGCTGCAGAAGGAATAAAACATATCTGATAACGCTGCTCGTAAAAGCGCTTGTGTTGTGAGACCCACCTGAATTTCCAGTGACTTGAGCTCATCCTTGCTGACGCGCGGGAACGGAGACGTCGGCTTGGGCGAGGACTCCGGGGTCTCCGTGTGCGACTCCCGACCCAACGGCGTGGGAATGGACTGGCTCTCCGAGGTGAGAGCGCCGGGACTCGACTTGCCGCTTATGTCCTTGGGCGATAGTGGGCCCGACGAGGAGACAATGCTGGCGGCGCTCGACTCGCACTTTCCGCCTGCAGCGCCGGCGCCGCCGGCTGCAGCCCCAGATCCAGATCCAGATCCAATCACAGAGCCAGCCGATCCCGTCGCGCTCATCGGCTTCACGCTGGGACTGACTGGTGCCGTCGGCGGTGTCTTGCGGTCGGCGGGCTCGGCCTGGAACTGCGCCTGATCCTGATCCTGATCCTGTCCGGACTGCAGATCGATCTGGGTGAGCGTGATGGACTCAACCTTGGAGGCAGAGGACTTGGAGCTGCTGCTGGTGGTTGTGTGGCTGCTCTGGTCGCTGGACTGCAGCAAAGTCGTGGTCTTGCTAGTGGTGGTGGTGGTAGAGGAGGCGGAAGTGCTGGTGGTGGTGGTAGTGGCCTCCCGACCCTGCTCCACTTGCTCGGGCTCCTCCTCGGCGAGCGGGTCAATCGACTCTACTTCCTCGGATGGCTTGTAGATGCTGGTCATCATGATGGTGGCAATGGACTTGGAGCGGCCCTCCTTCACACTGGCGCGCTCGTCGTCCTCCTCGTCGTGCTCCTCGTCCTCCTGATCGCTGTGGGTCAGCCGACCCTCGCTGGCCTGGCTCAGCAGCGACTCCCGCCGCGATTCGTCGGTGCCCACGAAGAGTGTCCGCTGGGAGGCGGTGGTGCTGGCGGCGCTGGCGGTGCTGGCCTTCTTCAGGCACTCTTCCGCCGTCTTGGCGGCGTCGGCGCTAAAGGTTTCCTTGGCGGAGACGATCTTCTCGGTGGCCAAGAACTCGGCCACTGTCTCTTTGATGTTGTCGTCCTTGGTGAAACCGCTGCTGCTGCTAAAGCTGCTGCTGGTCTCCTTGGTTTCTCTGGTTTCCTTGCTTTCTTTGGTTTCCTTGGTTTCTTTGGTTTCCTTGGTTTCCTTGGTTTCCGACTTGACCACCGACTTCTGAGCGGTGCTGGTCTGAATCTCGCTGACAATGGACTCCGACGAGCACTCCTCAGACTGCACTAGCAGTTCCTCCAAGTGGGAGGCGGACGAGCTGGAGTCCTCCTTGACGCCGGTGCTGATGCTTCCCTTCTCGGCCAGCAGGCTGGAGAGCGACTCGCGTCGGGAGCTGTCCTCCACCTTGAGGCTGCTGCTCAGCGAGTCGCTGGTGGACTCCTCGCGCAGCTGCACCGACTGGCTGGAGAGGACTGTGGACTTTGTGACCGAGCTGGACACGAGCGACTCCACGCTCGACTTCTCCTCCAACTTCTCCTCCACCTTGCTCTTGCTCTCGACGGTCTCTGTGGTGGTGGACGAGTGGAGCAGCGACTCGGTAGTCTCCTCGTCGACATCCTTGGCACTGAACTGGCTTGTGCTGGATGCTGGGCGAGAGGTTTTGGCCTCCCTGTCGCTGGCCTGGCTTGCAACCGACTCGGGTCGCGACGCCTTCTCGTCCTTGCCACCGTGGCTCTCGGAAAGCACGGACTCGCGCCTGGACCCTTCCTTGCTGGCTGCTCCTCCGGGAGATGTCTGCTCTTTGGCCTGCGCTGGCTGTGGTTCCTCTTCCTTCGGTTCGGGATCCGGCTGACTGGCAACCGACTCCGGGCGACTGACAGCAGCTGCTCCCTGACGCAACTGCGCCTTCTCGGACTGCTCGACCTTGTCCTTCTCCTCGATCGAGATGGGGCCGGACTTCAGGTCAGGCGACGACTTCTCGGACTCGATTTCCACTTTGACGCTGATTTCCAGGGATTTCTCGTCCCTGGCACTCTTGTCGGACTCCTCCTCCGTGTCGGCGGTGGACTTGAGCTTCTCCTCCAGCTGGCGTTCGTCGAAGTCGGGAATGATGTCGGTGATGTCCTTGTCCGACTTGAGAACCTTGGCCACGTCCGACACGATCTTCGCCACCTCTTCCTCGCGCGGCGAAAGCGGTCGCATGAGCTGGGGAGCCAGGATGCCCGTCTTGTCGCCAATGCTGGGCGGCGAGAAGCGGTGCTCCTCGTCCTCCTCCTTGATGTCGTGCAGCACGGGCTCGTCGCGCTCGCAGATTGTGACCGTGAACTCGGGCGAGCCCACGGTGGTGATGTGCGTTTCCCGCAGCTCCGAGAACGCGCCCAGATCCAGACTGCTCTTGTCCTGGCCACTCTCCGCGGAACTCTCACTGGCTTTGGTGACCAGCTGCTCGGTGACCAGCGCCGTTGCCTTCTCGCTCACATCATCGGTCACCTGCTGCACCTTCTTCTCGACCGTCTCTACGGCTGTGCGGGATATTTCGGTCACGCTGCTGATCTTGGTGTCCAGCACAGATTTGATCTCCGTCAGCTGCTCGCTGCTCTGCTTGCTCACCTGCTCGAGGGTCTCGGCCACAGAGCTTTCCACCTGCTTCGCCAAGCTGGCCACCTTCTCCTCCACCTGCTCGGCTGAGCTCTTGATGCTCTCCACTTTCTGCTCAACCTTGGTGGAAATCGACTCGAAAAGCGATGCATCCGACTGCTTGGTTACGGTCTCCGATTTGGTATCCTCGAAGCCCAGCAGATCTGCTTCGGGTACCGCATCCGCTGCTCCGGCCGCAGGGCTGATATGCTCTTTGACTGCTTCGCTGGCCTCCGACTCCAGAATAGGAAGAGCCTCGTCCACGGGGCTGGAGGCTGTGTGGCCCGTGTCCGTCTTGGACTGTTCTGCGGGCTTGGAGGGTGCAGCTGGCTGCGATGTGGACTCAACGTGCGGTGCCGAAAAGTCTCCTTCTGCCACATCGACGGGACTCGAGAGAGTTGGAAGCGTGCCCTTGGCTTCGGATTCTATCTGACTCAGGGGTAGACTTAGGTCGGCGACTGAGCGTGGGCCTTCCTCGATGGGGGAGGAGGCGGTCTCGGCCACCGACGCAGGACGGGATGCCTCCTTCGAGGCAGCCGGCGACTTGTCTCCCACCGATTCGGGCCGCGAAGGCAGTGGCGACTTCTCGTCCTTGCCACTGTCTGTCTTCACGCTCTCGGCCACGGACAAGCGACCGGATGCCTCCAATGACTTTTCGATGCCCGCGTCCTCAGCCACTGAAGTGGGGCGGGACGTTTCCCTGGACGCGGCTGGAGGCGATTCACCCTTTTTACTCTCAGTCACGGCTATTTCTTCGGTCACCGACTGCGGTCGGGAAGTGTCGGGTCTAGCACTTTCTGCCAGAGACTCGCGACGACTTTCTGGCCTTTCAGCTTCGTCCTTTACACTTTCTACAGCGGACTCTGGTCTTGATGCTTCCTTGGATGCCAAAGGAGATTTGTCGTCCTTGGAGCTTTCCGCCTTGACGCTTTCAACCACGGACTCCCGCCGAGATGCTTCCTTGGACTTCTCAGCTTCGTCCTTAACAGATTCAACAACTGATGCTGGTCTGGAAGCTTCCTTCGAGGCCAGAGGTGATTTTTCATCCTTGCCACTTTCCGCTGTAGCACCAGCTGTTACCGACTCTGGCCGAGATGGTTCCTTGGACTTTTCAGCCTCATCTTTGACACTTTCGGCAGCAGATGCAGGTCTGGAAGGTTCCTTGGAGGCCGATGCAGACTTTTCTTCCTTGGCGCTTTCTGCCACAGATTCGGCTCGGGAGACAACCTTTGACTGGGCTGCTTCCTCCTTTACGCTTTCGGCCACTGACTCTGCCCGAGATGGTTCCTTGGACTTTTCAGCATCATCTTTGACGCTCCCTGCAACAGATGCAGGTCTGGAAGCTTCCTTGGAGGCAGATGCAGATTTTTCTTCCTTGGGGCTTTCGGCTCGAGATACCTCCTTTGACTGGGCTGTTTCCTCCTTTACGCTTTCTGCTACCGACTCTGGCCGAGATGGTTCCTTGGATTTCTCATCTTTGACACTCTCGGCAGCAGATGCAGGTCTGGAAGCTTCCTTGGAGGCAGATGTATCTTCTTTGGCGCTTTCTGCTACAGATTCGGGTCGAGAGGCCTCCTTCGACTGGGCTGCTTCCTCCTTAACGCTTTCTGCTACCGACTCTGGCCGAGATGCTTCCTTGGAGGCAGGTGCAGATTTTTCATCCTTGCCACTTTCCGCTGTAGCACTTTCTGCCACCGACTCTGGCCGAGATGGTTCCTTAGACTTTTCAGCCTCAACTTTGACACTCTCGGCAACAGATGCAGGTCTGGAACCTTCCTTGGAGGCCGATGCAGATTTTTCTTCCTTGTCGCTTTTTGCCACAGATTCAGCGATGGATTCGCGACGACTCTCTGGCTTTTCAGTCTCATCCTTAACACTTTCCAACACAGATGCCGGACGAGAAACTTCCTTCGACGCAAGAGGAGACTTATCGGAGTCCCGACGACTTTCATCCTTCTCAGCGTCATCTTTAGTGCTTTGTACGGTGGATGCAGGTCGGGAGGGTTCCTTTGAAGCCAGCGGGGACTTGTCGTCCTTTGAGCTCTCCGCCTTCGTGCTTCCTGTAAGGGACTCACGACGGGAAGCATCCTTAGATTTCTCCGCCTCATCTTGTACGCTTCCTACTACAGATTCCGCCCGAGACACTTCCTTTGAAGCCAATGGCGACTTATCGTCTTTGGTGCTTTCTTCCTTAACGCTCACGGCAACCGACTCTCGACGGCTTTCTTGCTTCTCAGCTTCGTCCTTGATACTCTCAACCACTGATGCTGGTCGGGAGGCATCCTTAGAAGCTATTGGAGACTTTTCGACCTTCGTACTTTCAACGGATTCCCGACGGCTTTCGGTTTTCTCACTCTTATCCTCAATGCTTTCCACAAAGGATTCTGGCTTTGGGACGTCTTTCGATAGGATCGGGGACTTTTCGTCCTTCAAACTACTTGCTTTAAGGCTCTCTGCGATCGATTCGCGGCGGCTATCTGGTTTGTCGCTCTCGTCTTTGACACTCTCCACAACAGAGGCTGGTCGGCTGGCTTCCTTGGATTTTTCTCCTTCGTCTTTAAGACTTTCTGCCACCGATCCTGGACGAGAAACCTCTTTCGATGCAATTGGGGATTTGTCATCTTTAGTGCTCTCAACCTTGAGGCTTTCTGCCACAGATGGTGGACGTGATGCTTCCTTAGATTTTTCCGATTCGTCCTTTATGCTCTCTACTTTTGATTCTGGTCGGGACGATTCCTTAGATGCCTGTAGGGATTTTTCCTCCTTTGAACTTTCAGGTTGCCCACTCTCGGCAAGTGATTCACGTCGAGATGGCTCCTTGGATTTTTCGTCAGCCTTTGCAGTTTCTGCTATGGACTCACGACGAGAGCCTTCCTGAGAGGCGATGATGGACCCAGGTTTCTCGGCTTCGTCCTTGGCGCTCTCAGCCGGAGAATCAGGACGGGCTTCAACCGGTGATTGGACTATGGACTTCGGAGCCTCATCCACCGGACTCGATGCTGTCTTTTCAGTGCCGACTTTCGACAGTTCAGCCGGTTGGGCTGCGGCTGAAGTTGGGGAACTTGTGGGTGTTGCCGTCTGGGGGAAGTCACCATGTGCCACATCCACAGGACTCGATAAAGTGGGAAGATTACCTTTAGGGTCAATAGTCAAAGGCGGAATTCCTTTCTCGGCCTGCTCGAATTCAGCGCAGTCCTTGGATGCCTCCTCGATGGGCGATGATGCTGTTTCTGGTGCTGGAGATTTAGCCTCCTTTTGCTCCGCTGAAGAGCCGGGACGAGATGCCTCCGCTGATTTAACATCCTTTGGGCTTACGGATTCTTTAACATCATCCACGTGACCTTCTGCAGCCGAACCAGCCCTCGAGGGTTCCTTCGAAGCATGCGACGATCCCTCATCCTTAGCACCGGCGCATTCATCAGGAGAATCTGGTCGGGATATTGGCTCCAAAGGTGATGGAGTTTTTGGTGCTTCGTCTACAGGGGACGAGACCGTTACGGCAGCACCAACCTTCGAAAGCTCAGCTGGCTGGGCAAGTGTTTCTGCGACAGAGGAGGCAGAAACAACGACGTGGGAGAAGTCACCCTCGGCCACGTCAACAGGACTCGAGTCCGTCGGCAGCTTTCCTTCTGGGGCCAAGCTAAGTGCAAGACTAGCCCTCTTTACCACTTCGACCTCCGAGAACTCCATGACCGCTTCATCGATTGGGGAGGAGGCCGTTTCGGCAGCTGACCCTGGGCGGGATGCTTCTTTGGGGGAGACGGAAGACTTTGGCTCGACCTCAACGGCGATGTTAGCATCATGGTCACTGGCAACCGAAACTGGCCTGGGCGAGGACTCCTTCGAAATAACAACTGACTCGCGGCGGGAAGGTTCCTTAGACTGGACGTCCTTAATGCTTGTCTTGTCCTAATTTAAATAATAAAGAAAATTGAGTAGTAGCAAAAAGACTGAAAACCATATTAGGAGCATATCAAAATAGATTTCTTACCGCCTTCACGCTTTCAGCGATGGATTCTTTTCGCGATACCTCCTTGGACTTTTCTGCTTCATCCTTCACACTTCCAGTTGAAGATTCTGGCCGGGAAGCTTCCTTAGAAGCAAGTGCTAGCTTGTCATCTTTTAGGTTTTCTGCGACTGATTCCCGCCGGGACGATTCTTTTAATTTGTCAGGTTCGTCTTTAACACTCTCCCCAACGGATTCTGGTCGGGAAGCTTCCTTGGAAGATGCCTCAGACTTCTCTTCCTTAACGCTTTCCGGTTTGAAACCCTCTGCCACAGATTCGCGTCGGCTATCTGGCTTTTCAGCTTCGTCCTTTACACTTTCTACAGCGGACTCAGGTCTTGATGCTTCCTTGGATGCCAAAGGAGATTTGTCGTCTACGGTGCTTTCCGCCTTGACGCTTTCAACCACGGACTCCCGCCGAGATGCTTCCTTGGACTTCTCAGCTTCATCCTTTACACTTTCTACAGCGGACTCTGGTCTTGATGCTTCCTTGGATGCCAAAGGAGATTTGTCGTCCTTGGAGCTTTCCGCCTTAACGCTTTCAACCACGGACTCCCGCCGAGATGCTTCCTTGGACTTCTCAGCTTCATCCTTTACACTTTCTACAGCGGACCCTGGTCTTGATGCTTCCTTGGATGCCAAAGGAGATTTGTCATCCTTGGAGCTTTCCGCCTTGACGCTTTCAACCACGGACTCCCGCCGAGATGCTTCCTTGGACTTCTCAGATTCGTCTTTAACAGATTCAATAACTGATGCTGGTCTGGAAGTTTCCTTTGAGGCCAGAGGTGATTTCTCATCCTTGCCACTTTCCGCTGTAGCACCAGCTGCTACCGACTCTGGCCGAGATGGTTCCTTGGACTTTTCAGCCTCATCTTTGACACTTTCTGCAACAGATGTTGGTCTGGAGACTTCTTTGGAGGCAGATGGAGATTTTTCTTCCTTGGCGCTTTCTGCCACAGATTCGGGTCGAGATGGTTCCTTGGATTTTTCAGCCTCATCTTTGACACTTTCCGCAACAGATGTTGGTCTGGAAGCTTCCTTGGACACAGATGCAGATTTTTCTTCCTTGGCCACAGATTCGGGTCGAGAGGCCTCCTTTGACTGAACTGTTTCCTCCTTTACGCTTTCTGCTACCGACTCTGGCCGAGATGGTTCCTTGGATGCCACAGGAGATTTGTCGTCTACGATGCTTTCCGCCTTGACGCTTTCAACCACGGACTCCCGCCGAGATGGTTCTTTGGACTTTTCAGCTTCGTCCTTTACACTTTCTACGGCGGACTCTGGTCTTGATGCTTCCTTGGAGGCCGAGGGAGATTTGTCGTCCTTGGAGCTTTCCGCCTTGACGCTTTCAACCACGGACTCCCGCCGAGAGGCTTCTTTGGACTTTTCAGCCTCATCTTTGACACTTTCGGCAGCAGATGCAGGTCTGGAAGCTTCCTTGGAGGCAGATGGAGATTTTTCTTCTTTTGCGCTTTCTGCTACAGATTCGGTTCGAGAGGCCTCCTTCGACTGGGCTGCTTCCTCCTTAACGCTTTCTGCTACCGACTCTGGACGAGAAGGTTCCTTGGACTTGTCATCTCTGACACTTTCGGCAACCGATGCAGGTCTGGAAGCTTCCTTGGAGGTAGGTGCAGATTTTTCATCCTTGCCACTTTCCACTGTAGCACTTTCTGCCACCGACTCTGGTCGAGATGGTTCCTTGGACTTGTCAGCCTCATCTTTGACACTTTCGGCTACAGATGTTGGTCTGGAGACTTCTTTGGAGACTAATGCAGATGTTTCGTCTTTTGTACTTTCTTCCTTGGCGATTTCTGCAACAGATTCGGGTCGAGAGGCCTCCTTTGACTGGGCTGTTTCCTCCTTTACGCTTTCTGCTACCGACTCTGGCCGAGATGGTTCTTTGGACTTTTCAGCCTCATCTTTGACACTTTCGGCAGCAGATGCAGGTCTGGAAGTTTCCTTGGAGGGAGATGCAGATTTTTCTTCCTTGGCGCTTTCTGCCACAGATTCGGGTCGAGATGGTTCCTTGGATTTTTCAGCCTCATCTTTGACACTTTCCGCAACAGATGTTGGTCTGGAAGCTTCCTTGGACACAGATGCAGATTTTTCTTCCTTGGCGCTTTCAGCAACAGATTCGGGTCGAGAGGCCTCCTTCGACTGGATAGCTTCATCCTTAACGCTTTCTGTCCCTGACTCACGCCGAGACGGTTGCTTCGACATTTCGTCCTTCACACTCTCTACGACGGATTCTGGCGGAGATGCTTCTTTGATGCCAGCGGAGACTTATCATCCTTAAGAACCTCAACCTTTATACTTTCTGCCTCAGATTCTCGCCGGGATGGACCCTTTGACTTCTCAGATTCGTCTTTAACGCTTTCTACCTTTGATTCAGGCCGGGAAGGTTCTTTGGATTCCCTGGCACTATCTGGCTTTAAGCTTTCAGCTACCGACTCACGACGGCTTTCTGACTTTTCAGTTTCGTCCTTCACACTTTCCACCACAGATTGTGGTCTGGAGACCTCCTTCGAGGGAATTGGAGATTTCTCGTCTTTAAGGCTTTCTGGCTTTGTACTTTCCACGGATTCAACTTTATCATCTGCACCCCTCTCACTTTCAATCTTATCTGGCTTAATACTTTCCACAACCGATTCCGGCTTTTCAGTGTCGTCCTTATCGCTTTCAGCTACTGATTCTGGTCGGGAGACATCCTTCGAGGGAAGAGGTGACCTTTCGTCCTTGGCACTCTCCGCCTTAACACTGTCAGCCGTTGACTCGCGTCGAGACCCTGCCGTGGATTTAACGGGTTCATCCTTGATGCTCGCCACCACGGATTCTGGCCGGGAAACCTCTTTTGAGGCCAGAGGAGACTTTCCGTCCGTGGCACTATCTGCCTTGACGCTTTCAGCAATCGATTCCCGACGGCTTTCCGGCTTCTCGGCGTCGTCTTTGACACTCTCAACAACTGACCCGGGTCTTGATACTTCCTTCGTTTCAGCTACCGATTCTCGCCGCGATGGTTCCTTCGATTTTTCAGCTTCATCCTTGACGCTTTCTGCAACGGATTCTGGCCTGGATGCTTCCTTTGAGGCTTGGGCTGATGTCTCGTCCTTTGCGCTCTTCGCCTTAGCACTCTCAGCCACCGACTCCCGGCGGCTGTCCTTCACCTCAGTCTGATCCTTGATGCTTTCAGCAACCGACTCGGGTCGGGACACTTCTTTGGAGGCAAGCGGAGACTTGTCGTCCTTGGCGCTCTCGGCCTGGACGCTTTCTACGATAGATTCACGACGGGACGGCTCCTTCGACTTAGCTTCCTCGTCCTTAATAGCTTGCGCCACAGATTCTGGTCTGGACGCTTCCGCCGAGGCAGGCGGAGACTTTTCGTCTTTTGCACTTTCTGGTTTTATGCTTTCCCGACGGCTTTCGGCCCCTTCAAGAACGGACTCGGGCCTTGAGGCCTCTTTAGAGGCCGGTGCAGACCTTTCGTCCTTATCGGCTTCCGCTTTAACGCTTTCGGCCACGGATTCGCGTCGCGATGGTTCTTTGGACTTATCGGCTTCCGTTTTAACGCTTTCGGCCACTGATTCACGTCGCGATGGTTCTTTGGACTTATCGGCTTCCGTTTTAACGCTTTCGGCCACGGATTCGCGTCGCGATGGTTCTTTGGACTTATCGGCTTCCGTTTTGACGCTATCCGCCACTGAGCCCGGCCGAGAAGCTTCTTTGGAAGCCTGGGCGGAGATTTCATCTGGTTTTACGCTCTCTGCCACCGACTCTCGTCGACTATCGAGCTGCGCAGCTTCCTCTTTGGCGATCTCCGTGACCGATTGCGGCCGAGACACTTCCTTGGAGGCGGGTGGAGATTTCTCAGGCAGGGATGGCTCCTTCGAGGAATCCAGCTCTAATTTTGAATCCTGCTTTGGCGCTTCCTGCTTCGCCTGCACCTCGACCTCGATGGCCTCCTCAATGGTGGCAGGACTCTCCATGGACACAGTGTCCTCCCGTTCCTTGGCTTCCTTCGAGGGAATGGTGGCGGTTGGTTCAGCCAGCTGGGCCGGCAGTTCATCCTCGGACGTAATGTCGCTAGTCTCCTTCTCTTCGGGTGTGCTAGCCGACTTTTTAGCCTCCTTTTCGGTGATAAACCCTGCCTCCTCACTTTGTTCCGGCTCCAGAGCTTTCTCTTTCTCTGGCTCTTCTGTTTTCTGTTCTTCTTGTTCTATCTGCTTCTCTTGGGCTGCCGGTGTTGTAGTGATTTCCACAACCTTCTCGGCCTCGAGGGTGGCCAACTGCTCTGTTTTTTTATCGACAGAAACCTCAGTGGTCAATACCTGCTTGGCAGCCTCCTCCACGACTGGTTCCTCCCTTTCAGGTTCAGGTTCAGTTTCGGGTTCGATCTCCGCCTCCTTGCTCTCCTTCTCGTCGTCGTCGTTCTCCTTCTCCTCCTTGGCGGACTCTTCCTTGTGCGAGATGCTTTTGGTACCGGCTACGTCCTGGCTGTCCTTCTCGTAAAGACCGAGATCGGCTTCCTCGTGAACGGGCAGATCGGCCACTTCGTCGGGCGTCTTGATAACATCGCGCAGAAGGTTCTGCTGCGCCTCAAAGGTCATTTTCATGGGCAGCACTCGTTCGCCTGAATCGGGCAGCTCGCCCGCAATCTCCACCTTACCGGCATCCTTCGGCGAACCCTTGGTGGTTGCGGCCAGGACAGCCTTGATGGCGGACGGAGCTGCCTCGGGAAGAGCCTGCACGGTTGCCACTAGGATGGCCTCCATCTCCTTGGTCTCCTCCTTGACGTACTTCTCCTCGATCACCAAGTCCTCCTTGATCTGGTCCAGCGGAATCCGCTCGTCCTCGGGCAGTGTGGGCGCAGTGGTGGCCCCCGACTCGATGGTGGCCGAGAACTTCTCCTCGGGCAGGCTCTCCTGCAGATTAACGGGCAGGACATCGATCGGCACTCCGACTGGTTCGTCCTTCGTGTCCGACGTCTTCTTGCTCAGCTTCTCTTCGGGTGTCGGCGAGGAGAACTCCTCCTCGGCGGGCTTGGCCAGCTGCTCCTCGGTGCGCGACTTGGCAATGTCCTTGGCCGTGGCAATGATCTCCTGCACCTCGGCCTTGATGTCGCTCTGCTCCAGATCAGCCTCACCAGTCTCTTCGGCACCCTGTTCGTCCTGCCGGGCGGCAGTGGCAAAAGCAGAGCCAGCGGCGGCGCCCTCAAGTCGCGCCTTGCGTTCGGCGGCCTCCACCTTGGCGATCGCCGCCTCGATCTCCTCCTCGGCGCTCTTCTTGCGCTTCTTCTCCGACTCCTGAGAGTCGCGCTGGTGCTTCTGGATCTCCTCCTCCTTGGTCATGCTGCTCTCCTGCTCCACGATCGAGTCCTCGGTGTACTGCTCCACCTCCTCCTTCTCGATAATCAGGTACTCCTCCTCCTCCTCGTTATCGTCCTCGCCATCGCCCTCTCCAGTTCCCTCGGCGGGCATTTCGCGCAGCTCGGCCTTGATCTGATGGTGCTGCTGGCGCTTCATCTCGTCTCGACTGAACACCGCCTCGATCTCGCGCACCACCTCCTGCTCCTCCTTCAGGTCGTCCAGCTCGCGCTGCTTCTCGGCGTCCAGTTCCTGTGAGGCGGTCAGGTCCTGCAGCTTCTTGGCAGCCGTGGCCTCGTCTGCCGATGGGGTGGACACCAGACTGGAATCGGTGGTACCGCCTTTGTCCAGGCGTGCCTTCTTCAGGTCCGCCGCCTTCGGCTTCGCCTGCTTCACCGGACTGCCGGGTGCTGGTGCCCGCTTCGACGGCGAAACACCACGTGGCCTCCTCGAGATGGGCTTCCTTTGGACCGCCTGCGTCGCCCCGGTGGCTGCCGCTTTCGCTTCCGCCTGCTGCTGCTGCTGCTGGACACGCCTCTCACTGACCGAGGATGAAACGACCCGTCGCGAGGTCGTGCTGGTGGCCTGCACTCTGGCCGCCTGCTGCTTGGACTCCAGCACCTTGCGGTTGTTGGCCTCCTTGGCGCTCTTGGCGGGCGTGCTGCTCGGACTGCACTTGTTGGCCGGGCGGCTCAGCACCTTCGGCTTGACATCGCGCACCACCGGAGCTCGGGCCGCCGGCGTGGCCGTGGGCGAGCTCTTCTTCTCGTCCCGCTTGGCCAGCTTGCGGTCCATGGACTTGGGCGGCTTAGTGTCGATGCGGGACCGCACCACAGGCTTCACCTCGGCCCGCGGCTTCTCCGCCTTTCCGCTCTTGGTCGACGCCTTGGCCGGCTTGCCGCCGGCGGGCGTGGCAGCATCGACATGGGCAGCGTCCAGGGCATCCTTGCCAGAGGCTGCCACCGCTGCAGGTGTTGCCGCCTGCTGGGGCTTCATAATCAACACCTCGACCTTGTTTTCCTCGCCGGCCGTCTTGTTGTCCTGCTCGGCCTCGTGTTCGTGGTCGTGTTCGGGCTCTGGTTCCGTCTCCGCTTCCGGTTCCTGCTCGGCGGGCGCTGCCTCGTCCCCAGTGTCAGCCGGCTCAGCTTCGGGCTCCGGCTCCGGCTCGACGTCTGTGTCCATTGAATCGGCCTTGGTTCGGACAATCACAGCGGCCGACACAGCCGCAGCTGCAGCCGCTGCCGCTGCCGCCGCCGCCGCCTCCTTCGCCTTGTTGTCCTGCTGCTGCGGATGCGGATGCTGGACGGCCAAAGCGGCACTGGCTGCGGGACCGAACTTCGTTGACTTGTAGGTAGCGCTGGGCGGAGCGGGCGTGGCCTCGATGGCCGACTTCAAGCTCTTGCGCGCTCCAGCCACGGTCTGGATGGCGGGGGCAATCGACTTGGCCGTGCACGTGGAGTGCTTCATGAACTCCAGGTGCTTGAGCTTCTCGAGACCCTCCTGGATTTTAAAATCGGGTGTGCTTCCCGGGAACAGAATGCGGGTGATGGTGTCGTCCGGGTTGGCCGGCTGCCACACGAGAAGGGCGCAGATGGAGACCAAGTTCTGCAGCGGAAAGTTGAAGTCACGCGACTCGCGGGCGGCGAAAAGCCGCTGGTCGCCGGCATGCCACTTCTGGAGGAACTCCTTCACCTCCTTCGAATCGCGGGCCGGGCTTATCACATACATGTCCAGAGTGCCGTGGCCCACCTTGTGGTAGAGGTTAACCGGCTCCTGGTTGCGGTAGCAGCCCTGCGGCTTCAGGTCCAGTGCCTTCAGGTCGCTGACGATGCCGTGTCCGCGCTCGAAGAGATCGATCAGCAGCGGGTCGCGGTCCTTGTCGCCGTCCGGGCTGGGCAGGCCCTTGCGGTCAGGTACGTTGCCGAAGAAGTGCCCAATCTGGGGATAGACATGCGAGTCCCGCTTGCGCGACACCACCGCTCCCAAGCCTTGCACGTTGCTGTTGTTTAGCCGCGTCATCAGCACCGCGTCCAATCGGTCCAGATGCCGAGCAAAGTCCCAGAAGCACGCCTTCCGGTTAAAGCCGCCATCGACTGTATGGGAATGCAGAGGAATGGCACGAGGATTAGGTTGTGAATATTATCACCTAAATGCATGTCCGTACGTACCCAGCATGTTGAAGCCGTTGATGCCAAAGAGCGCTGCGTCACCCTGACCGCCGGGGAAAACGTAGAGGGTGGGGTGCGTGAAGCGGATGTTTCCCACCACGTCCGAGGTCTCAAGCAGCTCCCTCAGCGAGGTAGGCATCACCATGGGCGCCAGATAACCTGTGCAGAGCGACAATCGATAAGTACAGTGATTTGGTTTGGCAAGAGTCATTGAATGATTTTTTTCGCGAAATTAAAATGAATTGAATTATAGCAAGAAAGAAAAAAAGGGGAAGCATCATAAATGTATCTGCAGCAAAGTAACATTTGAGTGTGGACTTGAAAAAGATCTTACCAATGAACTCGTTGATGCACTCGCTGCTCGTGTCCAGGACATCGACGGGGTTTATCCGGATGCGGCACTGGCGCGCGAAGGCCTTCTCGGGCAGAGTGTGCCACAGACCCGCGTCCGCGCAGTGGATGTTCATGGTGATGGTGTCCGCGTAGGCGCGGATCACCCTTTGTACGTCGTGCTCCTGGAAGGCCTCAGAGAAGTCCGCCACAGAGAAGGTTCCGTCCTGGCGGGTAGACAGCACAGAAGTGAGATTCGCTCTCCAAAAGCGAAGAAGCAGAGGAGTGAGTGAGTACTTACCTGTAGTATCCAGGAACCATTGCCGCTGAAGGTGTAGCCGGCGTGGATGATGTGCCGATGGCGAGTGAAGCTGCTGAGCAAGTTGCGCATGCACTGGATCAGCGTGTTGTACTGCGGGTGGATGAGCACCTCCGTCACCAGGTTCTCGCTGGCGTACTGGATAAGTCGTTCGCCTGCAAGAGGAGCAACAAACAAACAGAGGGTTCTTATTTCCTCACCGGTTCGGAGATTCGAGATTTTCTACAGCGGAAATGGGAAATGGAGTTAAGGGGATTAAGGAGTCGTTTCCATTCTTTTGTTTTTCGGCTGACCTCGTTCCGTCAGGACAGTCACACCGGGTGGTTTGGGTGGTTTGGGGGGCACACCCCCGGATGAATGGATAAACGGACGGACAGTACTATGGGTACTGGAAGAGATGCCAGGCACGGACTTGGACTCGAGCACGCACGGCGCATCAAGTGGATTTCGATTGCCAGGCCTTGGCTTTATTGTCTCGCCCGATGATGATGATGACACAAAACAGAGCCCCTCGGGGTGCGCAGTGGCCATGGCTAGAAATTATTTAATGAATCTTTAATTTTAATGCTTTAATTAAGCCCTCAGCTGTGCGTTCATGTTGTTCACGCTGTTGCGACCTTGCCGGCGACCTTGACTCGCTTCGCTTTTCACCACTCGCAACTACCTAACTGCCTAACTAACCACGAGGACGATGATGATACGAGTACGGCTGATTATGATAGTGCAGGTAACCTAACAGCGTTGATGACAAGCTTTTTAGGCAGTCCTAATTTACGCATTTTTCGCACTTAGTACTCGTTGGTTGACAAGCCAACTGCACGGAGGACCACCCCACGCCCCACCCGGAAACCATCCCCTTTGGGGGCAGTGGTCAAATGTGCTCACGTACGCGTAAAAAATACAAGACAAGAGCGCCGGTGGGTCGGGTGGGTCGGATGGCTCTACGTTCACTTGTTTGGCTTCGTTCATTCGTTCAACTGTTGGCCCTGTGGCGTGTGTATCCCTTGTGCTTTTTATAAATGATAATCCCGCCGACCCAACCCGACCTGTGTGTGTGTGTTCTTCCACGGCTTTTATTTATCGCACCGAGCTTGGAACACGCAGCGGCGAACGCGGTGACTTACTCGCACGATGAACATATATAGGTAGTATCTATACGCACAGCCCACGGCATCCCGTGCGTATACGCAATTCGGTGAATTCAGGTCAACTGCCGCCCCGTTCCCAGTCTGCCCCCCTTTTTCCGCTGTATATGGCATGCAGGGCATGATCGTAAGAATGTTTAGTTTATAACCGGGCTGCAGACAGCACGTATTGGCAAGAGGGACACCGCAGGGCCAGGCGATATTAGCATCTTTGTGGCCAAGCCATTCCCAAGTGGCCTTCACGTCAAGACAGCTCCGGAAGGGGAATAAACTGGATTGAAAAACAGTCAATTTGCAGGAAAGTTTCGTTCACCTTCTAGTTCCTTGCGCTGTCTTGTGAATTATAATTAAACATCAATTGAGCTTGTCATTGAGTTGACCCGGATATTACCAAACTATATTTCCAAAGTTTTCGAATGGTTTTTACTTTCCAAGACTTGGTTTCCTGATAAACAAACACCTTTATCGCACTAATACTGAATCAAAATGTAAGTGAGTGTGTGAGTAAGCGAGTAATTGAGTGAGTGAGAGAGTGAGAGAGTGTACCACTTAAAGAGTGGCCAGAGTTGGCAACAGCCAACACCAACACCCACACACAATGGAGGGTTGCAGCAAAGTTCTTAAAGCCAAGCCTCCGGGAGACTCAGTCGACTGGCGGCCACTTGACAAATAATACCGAACGGAAATGACCGGAACTGGAGTCCTGGGCCGCGGAATAGCAGCCCACTGCTGTCCGCACCTCGTGCCAAAGTGGCAACATCCAGACACCAGATTAACCGTTAATAACTGCAGCCAGCTTCGGGCCTTAGTCGCGGCGCTGCCAGAGTTACGAACTTTTGCCAAACAAAGGGAGAAATGGGAAAAAAATTTGCATAACAGCAGTGTAGCAGTCGGAAACTTTTTGTGTTTCATGATTTCGTTTTCATTTTTCGACTCGACTCTTTTTGTTTGCTGCAAAGTAATTACAGTAACAGGGGTTGGTCAGCAGGGCTAGTCCACCCAGCTTTTCAGCCTCACTCGCCACCGCAGTTGGAAAAAGTTTACTGTCAAGCCAACGCGCACATTTTACAAAAAGTTTTCAATGACCTTTTGCGCCCTCTTCCTTCGAGATCCTTCGAAAACTGGGAGCAAATCTCCTAAGTCTTCTTCCAACTAAAGAATGCTTTTAAATTCAGGCGAGAAATGATTTTCCGGCAATACATATTTTAATAGGCAATTAATAATCCTCACTTGGGCTGATAATCACTGTCACAAAATACGAGTATAGAGGACCACAAAAACTTGTATTCCCGTTTGACAGTTCCGCAGATGCAGATGGTCGGTGGCTTGCGTGTTTTTCCAGGTCATCCCCAGCTGATAAATTATGTATATTAACGCTGAACATATGCATGAGGCTGTGAATTTCCCACAGCTCATCTCGGCGCTTTCTCCAGCTCCCCTGAGTGGAAAGCAAACGCCTTAATTGGCTGCGCTTATTCCCCCCATGGCCACACTTGTACTCTATGTAAACGTCCAGCGCATTAATCCCTGGCATTTATGATGATGATGATAGTTTAATTAGCGCTTTCAGATGCACCTCGGAAGGTTGGGCGGTGGACTCGCTATAGTGGCCGCCATACATCAGTGGCCGTTAGCTAGGAACGAACCATCGGCAATGGCATCATTAATCAGGGCACATAATATGCCGGAATCTTCTCTGGTTACGTGGAAACGTGGACGGACTCGGGACACTTGTGGGTAGGGAGGGAGATCTTGTTGAACAAAACCGATAACAACATGTTGAAAACGTCAAGCGGCGACGTGTCCTCACTTCTCACTTCACCTCCCATCGTCCTGGCCATAATTAAAAGGATGCGCCGCGAAGGGTCTCCGCATATGACAGACGTCAGCTGTTCGCCTCTTGCTGATATACGTATTAATTGATGCGCTGTCAACATGTTACCCGCATTCCGGAAGGTGGAGGCGGAGGACGGGTCCGCCTTTATCTGCGGCACCACCAATGTGCGCAGCTTCTCGCCCCACCTCACCATATAGTTTATTTGCTTATCGCTGCCGGACCAGTTGTTTCGCCCACTCTCCCCCTCCCTCTCCCGTATGCAAATTATAGGAAAAAAAAAGAAGATATTTCATGTAAGTCAGTCTAGGAGTCTGGGAGTCTGCCCTGCTATTTGCCCGTCTCGTCCTCCGGTTGAATAATGCATGAGCACACACACACGGCCATTGTCAATACAAGGCCATTGTAGCTGCGCCTGTATGCGTGACTCCTACTCACTTTCTATTTCCATTTTACTCGCTCTATGCACAATCGTATATTACCATATCCCCGCTTAAGTGTGTGTAGTGTGTAGTGTGCAGGCGGCATATGAACGGACGGATCCTATCCTATCTTTCTATCAATTTTGCATACGTTTTATCTCAAGAATTTGTAAGGCTTTTGAGGTTAGGTTGGGAGGCTGGGTCGTGATACGACTTAGCCATCCTATTGTGCCATGTCTCCTCATCAGGCCTTCTTTTCATTGCATATGTGCGATTCGGCTTAGGCGCGATAAGAATGTGTCCAAAGCCTCAGATAATCCTAAGAGCGGGTTGAGCCAGAATAAGGTACGATAGCAGAAGGGGCGGCACAATATTTGGCTCCGAAGTAACGAAGCTTCTGGCGAGTGTTCTGGCAAAATAACGAGAACGAGAAGGTCAAGTACGGCGACGAGTATGGAATGAACAAGAGCCGGTGTAGCGAAGCGAGTATTGAAAGCAATGAGCGGCGAGAACATGGTAACGTCCAGATACGTGAAGATGGTAAAAATCTTTAAACGAAAGGCCGGTGTAATTTTTGTAAAACAGTTCCTTATTTCAATCGAGCTAGTACTCTTTAAGAAATCCATTAGATTTAGTATTTTATTCTACACTAGTCGGCATAATTATTTTGACAAAATAAAAGTGAAATATACTCGAAACTTGAACTTGCTTCGTTTAACTTTTGGTATCAATGGAAGGGTAATTTAAATGCCGTTTGAATGATACCATACTTTTCTTAACTCTTTCGATATTTATTGAAAATGGCGAATTTTTGTGAAAATCTACTTTTTGTTTGTCATTGGAGGAGGCAACCTTTAGTCGGCTGATCGCCGAGTTTGTCGCGTTCATTGTCCATCTCCTTCGAATGCAGCCATGCAAGAAGTCGGTCGATTCGGACGCCAAAGCCCGGTTGTCGGAGATTACGAGTATGATGATGTCGCGCAGAGCGGGGATTTCGGACTATCGGATGGACAATGCAACCGGCGAAGCGAATGCATTCTGTGCAATCGCGCCTCAAGTGTCCCTGCCACCTGACCACCTGACCACCCTCCTCCGCCACTCCTCCGCAGCTTCTCCTCCGCAGCTCCTCCACAGCTTATGCTTATGGCTGGGCTGCTGCAGCATCGTTACGTTATTGGGCTTTAGACCGCTCTGGGGCTGCGCCACTTGAGAATTTTGTTTGAGTAGTTTCGAGTTGGGCGAATGGAATGGAAAGGGGAGAAAAAAGAAAATGGAAAATGGGAAAAAAATGCGCTGGCGTTGCCAACTTTTTCCCCATCCGGACAATGCCTGAATGGAGGGCATTGAGCGCAGGTGTTGCACTAAGCATGTCCTTCAAGGACAACGCCTCGGCATCGACGACCTCGAACGAGAGGCCTGCCGAGGAAAAGAACGCGCCTTATCACTGCCAAGACCGGGGCTCTTAAGCGTGGCATAGTGTATAGTTCCTTTGTCGCCTCGAAATGGAAATAATGTGGACGACTTCTAGCACGTTAAGGTTTCGCGGAAGGAGGCTAAAGAAATCAAAGGAATTGGTATTCATTTCTTGGAATCTCTTGAATTACAAGCTAGGAAACGAACTTCTATTTCTATATTTAATAGTGAATGCCTTTCAAGAGTTTAGCTTCTGAACAGGACGATGTTCTCTATTTTGGCAAACTAAAACAATTAAAGCAGCCGTTGTAAGTTTTTTTCCAGAAGAAGGGCTCAAACCCAATTATCTCCAGAGCAAGTCAACGAAGTGGGCAAACAGAGCAATAGAGCAACGGAGCAGCGAAAGCTGGACTCGCTTGGTGCAGTGGCAGCCACTTGAGTGCGTTTCAAAAGCCTTTCAGAATAATCCGCAAAGACAACAGCGCTGTCAGCCGGCTTATTGTTGCTCCTGTCGATGACGACGACGACGACGCTGATGATGATGATAATGATGGAGCTGCGGAGCTGCGGAGGTGATGATTACGGGTCTGTATGCTGCTGCTGTTTTGCTGTTGTTGCACTTGGGCAAATGAAAATGCAGCCTCCATGGGCTCGGAATTATCACAAAAGCCAAACAACAAAGAAGCCGAACAACAAAGCATGAAAGCGTTCAGCTTTCGGCTTTGTGCATTCAATTGTTGTTCATCCGATCCCGTTCCCTCAAATCTAACCCTACTCCTTGACTCGACTGCGTTGTGGACAAACAATTGTCATAATAATTCGTTGGAATAACTTTTGTAATTTGCAATTGCGCCTTTGTTTCTCGATTCGATGATCTTTGAATGCCGCAGCAATGCAGCCATTGCCAAATCGGTTTCGCTGGAGTATACTATTATTATACAGATAATTGTTTATTGTTGACTGGACTCACCATGACGAGCCTCCTCGCCCTCGGGCGCATGCTGTGTAATTGTATTGAGCTCCTCTTCCAAGTCAACGTGACAGTCCGAAACGTCCCAGGAGAGGAAACCTGAAAAGGCAAAAATAGAGCATTACTCGTAAAAGATGTCACAAAGTTGGTAATTAGTTTTATATGAACTTGTTCTTTTTAAAAATAACTAAAGAGTAGGTTTGTGTAGGCTTACAAAATTCAAACTAACAGGTTTTTTCATGCACTGTGCATATAAAAATCCACTAGTCAAGTAAATAAGTTATGAGCTGCGAAGAGGTACTGCCACTAAGTTCTGCCAAATGTTTATTGGGAGATCGCTCCGTTCGCCTTGGGCCCATGCATACATAATTCATCACTTCACATATTTGTTTTGTGTAATTATGCATGACGTCCGAAGGGAAGAAAAGGGACGTCCGAGGGGGTAAAATGCTGTCGAGGTCGCATTACGCATACGCCACGATGAACGGGACTGGACGCACCCCGCACGCCTTTTGATTATTGTTTGGCCTGTCGTTCTCGCTGTCCTTGTAGCTCTGTATTATATCATTTAGCAAACAAATTAAGCCACACTCCGACTTCAACCTGAGCATTAGCAAATACTAAAATTCAGCTCTCAGAAGGGCGAGGCCCAGCTCTTAATCATTTTCATGGTCCAGTCGGCTTTTCACATTTTCCATAGTTTTCGCCTGCCTTTTTTTAAGCGCAGCATAAAAAGTCGAGGGGCGGAGGGCGGAAGGGAAGGGCAGGTGTGTGCCAGTGAATAAATCGAATTTCTTTTCGGGGCACTTTGAAGTGAAGCCGGGGCTCTAAGTCCTACGTGACAGGTTCAAGGGTTCGTCGAGGAACCCGAGGAGACAAGGAGCCTCCTGAATTTCCACTCGCCTGCCAGGCCTTCATGTCTGGAAGATCTGACAGATTGTAAATTATCCCTAAGCCCCTTTGGAAATTTAATGAACACTCGGAGAGACCCCAGCAGCGTCGTCGTTGTCGTGAATAACTTATTAAAACGATGCCTTAATGAGTGCTTAACTTTCATTTTTACGCCGCTACCGATGCAAATGAAGCGCTTTTCAGCATACAGCATATGGTTTCGGATCATCATCATCCGGGCGAAGGAAGACGGGAAAACCATGGCTCTGGCTTAGGCCGAGCAAGGAAAATATAACAATATTACAATTCCGAACGCCTCCCCCCCTCACCGTTCACTGCAGCAATTTGCACAAATGGCTGGCAACAGCAACAAAGGCGGCTAAAAAGTGAACTCGAGGCAGAAAAAAAAATGTAAAATCTTAACACTTTTTTGCAGCCACACGCTTTATAGCCAGATTCAGGCAGGATCAGGACATTGTGTGGCCAAACAAAAGGGAAAGCGAAGAATAAAAGGGGAAGACGGCAGTCAAAAGCGCCTACAGCGATTGCACAAAAATAATGAGGAAGCGCCCAGGATATGCGACGCCAGCGTTTATGTGTGTGTGTGTGTGTGTATACACTATATATATATATATGTATACACGGCAAGGATATATGCGGTAAGCCCTGCCTCGTCCCGCCCTCTTGAGCAATCATCGAGCGAATGAAGCCACTCAGCTGGAGGAGGAAGACGGCGGAAGCGCTACAGAAACCGAATCCGAATCCGAATGCGAATCCGAGTCCAAGTCAAAGTCAAAGTTAGAGCTTCCGACGTGGAGCAGCCCCTCGCCCTCGCCCAGAGCTCATTTAGTATTTATGCGTTGATATCTGTGAGTGAGACTTAAATTTGCCCAGTGCCAGGGCCACCAGGCCCGTCGCTTATTTATTTATATTTAATTTTTTGCCCAACCCCCTGTAGTTTCTCTATACTCGTATTTTAACCGGCGAAAACGTGGCTGCCGTTTTGCGTCCTGGGTTGACATTACCACTGCTTTTGGTGGAACACTTTTGACTTTTAACGGCCAGAGTTCATTTACTCAGAAGCTCGAAGAAGTCTTTTACAAAGTAACGTGAACTATAGTATGATATGTGTCCTAGCTCTTGGGTTTTTAATCCCAACACTGTCATTTGCAGAAACCAAAGGATAAAACAAAATGTGAGGCTTCTTATTACATTTTAAAAGATTTTCGAAAGTAAGTGACGTTACATCATGGCCTTGGGTGTAAGATCACCTTTCTGTCATGCATTGCCCAACGGTAAATCTCATTTTTTCCGCATCCCCACACACATAACCGTTATTACGGGAGCCGTGGGCCCTGTGATTGCGATTCCCACTCCGATTCCGAATCCGAATCCGAATCCGATGTCGTTTCCGATTCCCGCACCCACAAAAGCTGGTGCACTCACTGCGATTGAACGCCCCCCAGCTAGGTAATCGAATGCAGACGTGTCAGGCAGACAGACACCTGTTTCCTGTGTCCTGGCACCCACCCCTTTCAACCCATCCCCTCCCACTCTGTTTCCCCATCCCCCTTGCCACCCAAATCCTGTGAAACCCCGCTGATGCCACAAGCGACACTTGTGAATGAGGCCCTACTTTTGCCCGTGTTGCCTGTGCTGCCTGTGTGTTCCTGCTCGTGACGAGGCTTCCCCTTCGTCAGGACGCATGATTACTGATAGGCTCCTCGAATGCCCGGATGCACCCGGGCCACTGCCTCAGCCCCGCTTTTAAATAGCAAATAGTTGCATAATTCTGTGCGCCCCTCCAAAAGCCACTCACTACCCATGGGAGGCGAGGGGAAGCTGGGGGGTAGTGTTGATTTTGTTGTAGCTAAAAAGCCACTTGACGCTCGCTGTTCGTTCGCTCGTTGTTGGCGGCGGCCCTTAAAGCCAGAAAAGCGCGTTGAAAAAGTTTGCACAGCCAAATGAATGCGCTTCTTCTCTGTAGAATGCTCCTCTGCCTCTGCCTCTGCCTCCCCGGCAAAAGGCAAATGGCAAATGGCAAAAGGAAAAGTAGCAAGTGCAACTGTGTTCGAGGGGGGCAAGTGGCAAGTGGCAGCGGACGAAAAGAGCTAAATGTTTGGAAATGCATAAATAAACACATTAAAAGAAATTAAACACTTGCACCCATTAATTGCGTATTGAGACAAGTGGATGGCAAAGAAGAGAAGGCTCTACAAGCTCTACATCTGAAGGACAGCCAGTCAAGCAGCCAAGTGGGCGAGGAAGGGGTTCCGGGACATCCCGATCCCATAGAGAGACCTTAGACACAGTAACAATTAAAGCAAATGGAAACTAAAGTAAACGAAGCGCAGCGAATAACCGACTGACTCCCCGGATCCTTCTCCTTTCGGATCGAATTGAAGCGGAGTCCTTTGTCCTTTGTTGTGACAAGCCGGCTGAGGACCTGGCCGAAAGGAAAGGAAAGGAAAGGAAAGGAGGGTCGAAAGCGAAAACAATGCTGCGCCTGATTGCCCCGTGCCGATAAGACGGGCCTGATGAGCCAAGAACCAAGAACCAAGCCGCACAGGCACACAGGCACGGACAAGGACATCGAGCATCGAACATTGGACAGCGGACATCGCACATCGGACACACATTGTTGTTGCTTTCTGCGGATCCAGCGATTTGTATGTCCCGATAAAAATTGTAATTAATTGGAACAGAGCGGAGGCGAAACGGAGGAGAAAAGCCGATTTAAGGCAGGGAGTACTCGTATCTTTAAGGGCATTATACATATGTAATTAATAAATAGCTAATATAGTGAATGGAGAATCCTCTTAAAATGCAATCCTTTTTAACTACCAACTATTGTATTGCGATTATCCTCTAAGATCAACAGATTTAACTGCATTTATCTTGCATAACCCAATTACTATATACCGTAGGTACTATATATATCCCGGCAGTTGTAGAGCGGTGAAAATAAAATGTGGAGAATGGCGTCATTTCGGAACATGCGTCATTATCCAAAAGGTCTCTTGTCCTCACCCTGTCCAATTTCCATTTCCCTGCCCGTTTCCACCTCTCAGGCTCACTGCTGCTGAGTCATGTCTAAGTTTAGTCGACTGTCCCGCTCGTCCTGACCAACAACAGACCAACATGACGAATGCGCCATATATTTTGAAGTGTTGTTCCCCCCTAATGGCTAATCAATGTTTATAGGCTGCCGCCAGCGGACAACAATAAAGGAAAATTTGTGTGTGCAGGTCCAACCGAACGGAGCCAAATCATTGGACAGCTTTTTTGGCAACAGAAGCCCCAAATATATGGAATACAAATGCGCCAATTCGTTGGGCGGTTCGTGAGGTGGGGAGAACCAACAAATTTTCAAATGATAGGAGGCTGGAAATGTGGCATATACCAGATATTGCAGAGACTGACAAAGGCCACAGAAATGATATGTGTGTGTGTGCCTGGGATGCAGGATGAGTTGGAGTGCAGGACTGGTGGACTGGAGGAAGTGCGAGCAAGTTTCGGATAATTTATGTCACTTTATCGATTCGCACAATTCCCTTGAACGAACGAACACACTATGAAGGCACTACGAACCGAGCAGAGGTGAAAGGAGATTCCTGCAGCGACGGCGAGTGAACTCTTTTCACATATCATATATAGTACGTACTATATAATAGCCCTGCATAAATTGCTCATAAATGTTTCCCTGCCACGTGCGGTTGCAAAGTCGGTTGCAATCTACCCGAAAGTACAAGTAAATCCGAAATTTCTATTACCTTCGCTTGCGGCACATTCCCCGAATTTCACCTTTCACCCGATGCGCTCCAGGGTCATTCGATCCCTGCCTCAGTTTTCCGACTGCTTCTGGCAGAAAAGCGAAGAAAAACAAAAAGGTAGGCCAACTGCGAACAGGCGAGTCTGCATACTCTGGCAATTTTAAAGAAGGCTATCACAACCATAAATTTATCAAGTTACTTTTAAGGGAACAACAAAAGAATGCGCTCGATTGATTCGACTTAAGACCGAGTTCAACTGAGTTTCTTTAAGTGCATTAGCTTGTAAAATTAATTCCTAAATACTTTTCAAAAATAACTTTTCCCAGAAATCTCTCCGTTCCAAAATGGATGATGTATTATGTATGGATGAGCAGGGCAAACTCCGAGAAGTTCCACAGTTCGCATTGCAATCCGATTGTTGGACTCATTCTCGAC